GGTGACTTATGACGTTCGCTTCCCTTACAGCGACCCAACTGGTCTCAACTTGATTTTTGTGCCCGTAAGTATCACCTAAACATTTTCCTGTTTAAAAAATAGAAAACAAAGCCAGGAGAGGAACAGTAGGTCTAGACGAACTCAAATTGTTTCTGCTGGATGGAATGGGGCAAAGAAATGGCACAGTAGGGAGAGAGCAATCAATTTTCCTTGATATTGGCGCATTCACTGCAAGACTGTATGTAGAAGAGTGTGAATAAGATAGAGCAAGAAAACGGCAGTAAGGAGGAAAGTGAGAGAAATCCTGAGCTCATGTTTCCGAATCAGGCAAGGAGCTGCAATTAGAAGCCTGGCTTTCGACTGCAGTGTGCCTTCTCCACAGCTAAGGGCTGAGAAGGCAGAGACTGGGGCCGAGACGGAGGAAATGGGTGGACACAGTGGGGTCTGTAGGCTCCTCTCATTTCAGTCTTTCACAAGGTCAGAAGCAAGGTCAGAAGTGCAAAGTGAGGAGGAAGGGTGTGCTGGCACTGAGGAGCCAAGAAAACTGGAAAGCAGCTGTCCAGGACAGGAGAGTGAAGGACAGATGCCTCCACGAGGGCCACAGGCGCTAATATAAAAGATCAGTCAGCATGGTTTCCTACTTTCCTCCAGCCAGGATCAGGCAAGCAGTCTTAGATTTTACTGAGGTTCTTGTAGTCTGTTAGGCAGGCAAGTACTGACAATATAATGCAACAGAAGAGTGTGGGGCAAAAAGAAGGAATCACAGAATGAAGCGCCGGGAAGCCAGCGAGGAGGGGACGCGTTGGGGTGGAGGGGGGGTACGAGCCACAGGTCTTCAGTTCTGATGGGGTCATTCCCTTGCCTGGAAAACAAGCTCCTTACTAGGCATCTGTTTCTTTGTAATTTTAGTGCCAACTGTGGTATCTGAAGCACAGATGGTGAACTCATGTTTGTCAAATAGAAAATGTCTAGAAAAGGAGAATTAAAAAAAAAATATTCAAAGAGCAGGTTTATTAGGGAAAAGGACAGGATTAAAGGACACTTGCATAGGCACAAGTGCGCAGGGAGTGCGGCCCCAAAGGGACAGCTTCGCTGAGCGAGGCCTGTGTGCTGCACGCAGGCGGTCTTAGGATCCCTCCCTCCACTGAGGGGTCAGCGTAGAGAAGCCCTGACAGGGGCAGGTTATGGGGAGGCAGGAGGCCGCTGCCCTGCGAAGGGAGAGAGCGGTGGAGAGGAGCACCTGCATGGGCACAGGTGGGCAGAGGGCGGCTGTGAAAAAGCAGGGTGTTTGCACGCATAAAGGAGCTTGAGGACTGCGGTGTGCAAAGGCTTTCCATAGATCCTTTTCCTGGCCATTCCCACCAGAGATTAAATTTGCTTAGAGAAATAAGTATTTCTTAACATGAAATAATTTTATTTCCAGTAACATATTTAAGAATAATTTATCTAATTTCCAGTTTTCCTTAACATGTACTATGGACCCTATCTGTTACTTATTAAAAGAGTTTTATAGTATCTTTCTCTTTCTTTTATTTGAGGCTATCCTTTAATGAAGCCAATAACCCTCAATATAAAACAAATCCTTTATTCAAATCGCAAGCTCCTTGACTGTAGAAAGCCAGACTGGGAATGGAGAAAACGAAATAGGCAGATACATTAGTACAATTTAACGTATTTTAAATACCAAGCCAAGTAAGTCCTGATAGTCCTGGACCCTCAGTTGTCTTACTGAACAAAAGTGGTGTTTATCCTCAAACAAAGAAAACCAACACACTTCAAGTACATGGGAGGAAAATTTCAAAGAAACTTTATTTTTAAAAATGCGAACTGTATGGCATGACTTAAGAAACCTGAGAGTGAAAAGAATCAATAAGCTAATGAGATTAAAAATTCCTATAAAACATTAAACACACTAAGAAAAATTAAATTGAACATAACCAGAGAGCCTACTATTAAAAATTACTGAAGAGTCACCATAATTTCTTAAATGAATGGAGAATCTTTTTCTTATATGGATTTTCCCCGTTCTCTACATTGAATGCCTTTTTTTTTTTTAACAAGTTTTGAAAATATACCGACTTCATGTGCGCGGCAACCTACTAAGTTCTGTAGTGAAGGGTTGCTATATATGGTAACCATACCTGGAAAATTCTCTGACAATATTATCACTTTTATAAATCATTACGTTCTTCAGGATCCAGAGTTCTGACTATTCCCAGTGAACCTGATGTAAGCATGTAAAAATGCTTGCTTGCTTTTTTTTTTTTTATAAATCACAGTAGTAAAAAGCAAATTCACTCAAACACTATCCTTTGTCCAACAGAAATTTTTCAGTTGTGATGGGTATAAATGAGAATTATATTAATATAAAGGTTTCTGTAGCATTTAGAAGAAAAAGGAAGGTGTTGAAATCACAAGAAAATATTTTTAACTAAGAATAGCATTCTTAGTTACAACAACACTTTTGCTAGAAAATGTTTCAAACAAAATCTCACAAACAGCACCACACAATGGTGCTACTGAAGACTGCCCCTGAAGATAAAACTACTTTCATTCATTAATCTTCTGTGCTTTCAACTCCTCAGCCCCAAAGCACTCATTTAGAGAGTGGCTGAAGCTCGCCTAGGTGACAGGGCAGCAGGAGGGCTGTGGGGGTTTGCTGCAGTCCTCCGAGATCAGGGATCAGCTTCCGCGCCAAGGCACAGCAGGATCACGTTACTGCTTATCCGCCAACCAGACACACCCTCTGGTTATTACTACAGAGAAAGCAGGAGCGGTGTCGGCTACGAGAAAGTTAGCAGCTTAATCTACAGAAGCACAGTGGTGTTCTCTACGATGCTGGCGTGTGTAGAGATCCGCTCTACAGGTCTTCGCCTAGATGGCAAGTTTTCTTCTTCTCAGAGTCCATGCCACATAAAGGCTTGCGCTGTCAGGAAGGTGGCATCCTTCTCCGAAATACAAGCACTTCTTGTCGAACTAGGGCTCATTTTTCTTTCTACATCATGGAAACTTGAATGCCTCAATTTAAAATCTTCCCTTGTTCTATTCAACCCCCACCAATTTCAAAGCTAAAATATTAGACATCCTTTTTGTCCTATGGATCAGTGTTCCTAGGATAGCTTATACTTCCCTTAATGAATCTTTTCTGAGTAAAACAGAGTTGTCTTACTTGCAGAATAATTTTATATGAGTGTCTCAATTCTGACTCCTACTAAGGCTCTTTTGTTTAATGAGACAATTAATAGAAAAGAACCGAGCCCTGATTAAATGAAAGTCGGAAACACCTCAGTGGTAGCCACTCACCAGAGAATTTAAAGCACTTTCTGAAGACCACTAGGAAAAATGCCTCCTTAGGGAACGAGAACAACGACAGCATCAGAGGGCGGGAAAGGAAAGGCAAGAGATCACGTGGCTACTCCTGAGGATTACATTCTTGCTGAAGCAATCTTTTTCTTCCAATTTTTAAACCAACATGCTCAGTATTTGCATTTACATCTCGGCAAAGATGGAACTCTCTCTAAATTTCTATTTAAGAAGATCACTTAGTAAGTGCCAAATGAGTACTTAATCCAAGACCAGGCAAAAATCCTTCAAGCAGCTATGTCTGAAATAAAGAATCTGCTCTGAACAGCATCGTTACAGACACCTCCTCAGGTCAGGGAACCTGTGCCCTGCGCAGGCAACTCTGTGGACAACGCCAGGGCCGGTGCTGCAGGGGTGGCCACACACGGTCGCAGGGCAGCCTGGGAAGCTGTGTTTCAGGACAACCGTGACATCTCACACACTGGTAACAGCGAGTCTTAGAACTCCAAAATTTTGTTAAGCTTGTTCAGGTTAAATAAAAAATGAGGCCCAAACAAAACCTCCCAGCATTTTCTTAAGCTGTTATTTTCGTCCAAGCAGAACAGATCAGAATTGTACTCTTCTCAAAATAACAAAGGCAATCAGAGTAGATGTTTCTCAAGTGTCCTAATGCTGCAACAGGACAGCACAAATGTACTTTTAAGAAAGAATATTTTTTTTAAAGAAACAGAGAAAGCGGGATGGTTTCCTGACAACTTCCCAAATCACAGAATATCATTTAAATTTAAAATCTGAGACCGGCATTTCCTGCTTGAAGACCCTAAATACAACCTGAAGCCACCACATGAAACTTCTAGGGCTTGTCATCCACCAGCTACTCTCTCACGGGCTACAGATATAGTATTTCAGATATAGTAGCAAACACCCCAAACTGTTTTCCTTAAAAGATCTAAATGACCAGTTCCTAAAACTGACTTGCCAATTTTGGGAAAACTCAAATACAAAATTTCTTTGGAAAAACCAAAGGAAACTAAAACGTAAGTCACTGAACACACCTAAAACCAATCCTCAGTTCTGCCACTCGGTTCCCTAGTCAGAGAGCAGCAGGCAGCCAAGCTGATGTGCTTGCACTTCAATCATATTATTCTGAAAGTATAGTAACATTTCTGAGGCTTGTGAACAAGGCTGAGACCAAGAGTTAATAATGAGGAGGAGGCAAGACTTTCCTGAGATAGCTAAAGCTTCTAAAGAAACCACAACTTTAAAATCCCTTCCTACTGAAGGAGAGAGATATGATGCCTTAAGATTACTAAGAAGTCACTTTGGGTTGGAAATGGAAAAGGCCAAGAAGTCTACCGGTTGGCTTGGCAACATCAAGACGCTCAAATCTTTTCACTTTCAGAGACTGGCTACCATTTCAGTAACGCTGCCTGTGTGAACACCTATTTCACCTGCAGAGGTATCACATAAAGACAACGGTGTGGACCGATTCTAGACACAAGGCTAGCTCCTAACCACTGGAAGCAGGATGGGGTTACTCGGCGAGGTAAGCGCATGCTGGCAACTCCGGCTTTTACAGGGCACTAAGGACCTCGACCAGGATACCAGCAAGCCTGGTATCCATTAGGCAGATTTTTTAGGTAGAAAATTGTTTTGTCAATGTTTTAGGTAGTATCACTAGCTAAAACTCAAGTTACCTCACATTCCATCCGCAGTAATGCACCAAGTACAGCACCTCTCCACCTTCGACATCAGAATCCTTAATACTAGCTTCATACACTTTCTGAGCTTTCCCTCGTCCATACCGCACTTGGACTCGCACGCCCGGTGGGTAGCACTCAAACGCCGCTTCCTCGCCGGCGTCCTCATCTTCCTCCTCTTCCGCCTCCTCCTCCTCCTCTTCTGCTTCTTCATCATCTTCCTCTTCCTCTTTATTCGTTTCATCTCTTGAAAGGTTTAAAAAATTGCAGTTAATAAACGATACTTCATAAGTTTTTCAGTCCCAAACCACATATACTGATAAATCGTGGCTGTTGTTCCGGGACAGCAGGTTCCACGGGCATGGACTCGTCAGAGTTTCAATTTAGTATCAGAAACCAAAACTGTACGAGACAACCATGGTTACAAAAAGATACATTTAGAGAAACAAAGACTGAAAAATAAGTGCATTAAAGGAAAGTTTCCAACAGCCAGATGAACAGAAGTTGTGCTGAGCAGCAAGAAACTAGTTGAGGTCGGCTTTAACAATATTCTCACAGTTTTATTATAAAAATCTTTTTATTCACATCTCAGTTGACAAAAACACAGACCATTACACTTCATATCCATTTTCTGACCAAATTTATTTTTTATTCAGATATTTCCAGCCTCAGAATATTTAAAACTTTTTTTTTACTGGTTGACGGTAGTCTTAATAACATGAACAGTTGCTCCAAACAAACTTTCAAATGTTACACTAACTGAAAATACACTTCTAGCTCTCAGTAGAGTAACTATCAAATCAAGTTTTGTCTTGCTGCTCTCTTTACCGTATTTACTGAAAGCCAGCCTGCCAATACTCGAACTCTGAGGTGCCAAAGAAATAGCACAAGAGGCCAATTCCAAGTGAAATACGGCTACAAGCCAAACCTCTCAGCAGCAGCGCTGCAGCTGCTTCAATCTTCTCAGTATCAAGTGCTTTCCACAACTCAGCACTCACAGTCACTGTACATCAGTGACAAATCTGTAGTAAGTAAGTTAGAGAAAAGTATGCCTGTAATTATTACAAGTTTTCTCTTAAAAAGTATCCATCAACCATTTAGCTGACAAATGCATAAATGTCGTAAGACAGAATCACAAGACAACTAAATGATCAAGCTTTAAAAATTAATGTTTATATAAAAAGCCTCTCTCCACTGATAATTTGAATTTTACAGTCGTTTATACATCCTTTTTAATCATAACATTTCATCACCCTAATTCTATAATTATATAGGCAAAAGAAATAATCTATAAATAATGATACAAACAGCAATTTTTTTTAAATTCTCCCTCTTCCCCTATATAACTGAGTGAATGGGCTAGGGGGACAGACTAAAAGACTTGTGGAATTGTGTCTTTGCAAAAGGACCAATTTCAATTTTCTCTGAAATACATAATGAAGTCTACAAAGATTCTCAAGCACTTTTCTTATTTTAATAAAGAATTTATTTACAGGCAAACAAATAGCTTCTTAAATACCTAGTCAAAAGTATTTGTGATGATGTTAAAAATGTAAACACTATTACTGAAAATACATTAATATTTATATAATGAAATCATTATTAATAAGGCTAACAGTCTAAAAACTATTAGAAAGGGTGCTGTGGACAATAAACTTTTAATAACAATTTTAAATAAACATTTTATGTATGGTGTATAATTAAAACAGTTAAGACATTTTTGGGAAAGAACACTACTATTTTAAGTCATAATATGTCCCCTGCATTCGGGAAAAAAAGGAAATATATTCTGATATGACAAAAAAACCAAGAGACTATATATTGAAAAGGTTTCTCAAACACATAAAATCATTATGTAAGAGAAAAGAGAAAATGTGTAAGTCTAAAATGTTTTAAATGAAAACAAATGTTAACCTGCATCCCACGGTATAAATACAAAGCAATAAGCACAACTAGTAAACGTCAGTAGCAAGCACAACCCTACTGCAAGCAGGTAGCCAGGCCACACTTCTACTTAATCTGGACGAAAGCCTAATATACTGTATTATAAAACGTAGTAATAAAAAATATCACATTTAACATCAATCTCAGTCACAAATAAAATGAACTTCACTTAAATAACATACCAAAATAAAAAGAATCAATGTCAGTCAAGGAAAATAACCTACTCTCCCTAAGAATTCAGTGGCAAAATTAGAGTAAATGCATCAAACCAGAAAGAACACAATGCCAACAAAGACAGCCTTTGGAAGTATAAAAGGTAACCAGCATTTTAGGTTAAAGTAATTAAAAAGCTCATGCATGTAACACACATACTCACACGCGTGCGCACGCGCGCACACGACAAAGTCTTGGGAAACCAAATGTATCAGTATTTTCACCTAAATTTACACAGAAATAACAAAATTTCCCAATACAATGTCACCCTCCTTACAATGGAGAAACAATAGTAACTACAACAAAAAGCTACCATTCATTAATACTTAGGATGGGTCAGGCACTGAAATAGGTTTTTCACATAAGCCTGATTTATTTAATTTCTCATACCTGCACTATGAGGAAGAACATGGAAAATTCTTGGCAGTAGCTAATTAACTTACAACACGTTTATATACTAGAAAAATACCCACATATTAATTCTCTATAATTGTATGTAGTTTTCAATTGCACTTATCTAATTAAATTCAGAAATCAATTTCAGACATTCCCAAACACACAATACTTCTAAAGGACATCTAAAAATTAGGGCAGTCACACTAGAAAACTTTTATTTGTGTTATAAAACATTTATAAATAGTTATTTATGTATGTGTGTGTATGTGTGTATAGTTGAAGAATTAAAGGTACAAAGACCTATAAAATCTACCTTATGCTCATTAACAAAGAGCAAATACAGGCTATCAGATACCTTCCTTTCAGAAGATGCCCCAGAAATGTCTGCTGACTCTAAAATCACATCTTTATGCAAAAAGCTGAATTCTCATTAAGTTTCTTTTCTTTTCCTTTTTTTTTTTTTTTTTTACAAAAAGATTTATTTATTTATGCATACAGAACTGGGGTACAGGCCAGAGGCACAAGGGAGGTGAGAGGATTCACTGGAGACAGAGTGGGGAGAAGAAGAGGCCGACTGACAAAATACATAGCTGAGGGGAGCAGAGGGCAGGTCAGGAGAGGCTTATTGCACCCTGTGGGTTGCCTCCGGAGCCGGGAATCGAACTCACACTGAAGTGGCTGAGGCTCACTTGCAGTGCTGCGCTTTAACCCGTTGTGCCACCAGGGAGGGCCTCCCATTAAGTTCCTTAATAATCGAAATAAGTGTCCAGTAGCAGCAAGGAGTACTTCAAATAAACATTCATTTATACAGAAATAGAAACAAGTGTATATAAACAAACACTTGTACCATATTTATCTAAACCCATTTCTTTTCTTCCACATTCATCTGCATACTATGGCCAAAATTTCAGGATACTAAATGATCAGGAAAATTTAGGCAAAAAGTTGAATACTTATAATTTTTTTTATTAGTTGAATTGTCTCCCTTAACAGTAAGAAATAACTGAAATATATATTTACACACACACAGATAATAAGTGAAGTTCTTTTATTATATATATTTATCTGAGCAGTTTTTTTCTCTCTCCTGCTTATCTACCTGCATGCTGTGGTCAGTTTTCAGAAAAATTCCAAAGTGATCAAAAATATTTGGCTGTATTTTTGGGGGGGGTTGTATTTTCTTAATGGATCAAAACAATGAGGATGCTTAGGTTTTCTAAACCTCAGAAATAGTATAAACTATCAATGACCAGTTATAAATTCAGAAGTTCACTGGCAGTGCATAAGTTACAGTGCTAAATAATTCATCATTTCAAAGTCACCAAAACAATCCCATACAACTATCACATAAAACATAACAATTCTGGCCTTTAAGAAACTAAGTATTAGCACTTTTTTATTATAATTTTTCACTTAAGAAATGAAAACAATTCTCAAAACTTAGAACCAACATACATCTACAAACATTAGAGAAAGCCATCTCCTCAAAATTAATATCTGGTTAATTCAGTAGAGCTTACTGCAGCAAAAACTACTTTTATGTAGATCAAATTCTTATAAATTTCCATGATGAGAGCAAGAAGAATGGATCAAAGTATGATCTTTTGTGACAAACTTTCATTAGTAGGGTCTCTGAAGGAAGCAAATGCTATAAATAGTACAAATTGCTCAATTATTTGATGTCTTATCAATCAAATTTAGATTCATACATATATACAAAGAACAAGTCACAAGAGTGCAGACAAAATGCATCTTAACCAAAAACAAATTTCTTACCCAGATTTTGCTTTTTCTTCTTCAGCTTCTACCTTTATGCTGAGGGACTCATCTACCTCGGTTGTCTCATCGTCTTTATCTTCCAAATTTTCATTTTCTTCTGTTGTTTTGACGTTAACTTCTTTTTCCTGATCAGATTGTGCAGGTATAGATTCTAATAAGTTCTTTTTACTTCCCTAGGAAAAGATCAGAGGAACTAAACCAACAAAAATAAAAACTGTCAACCTAAAACCATGATCTAACTGCTGTTAGCTGTAAGAAGCATACAAACCAGTATCAACAATGAGAATGCTGCCAGTTATTTTAAGAAACTCACCATTCCTAAAACATTGGGCAAAAATAGTTAATAGCAGCAAATACTCATCTCATTTAAAATTACTACAAAACCAGTACTTGATGAAGAAAATGAAATAAAAACAAAGTATAGAACTATACGAAAACATTAAGTATAAAACCTCCCAGAAGACAGAAAGCGCAGCAAAGAAGGCGAAGGAATCTATTCACAGTCTGATTTACCAGGGAGGGTCTGATATTTTCCTTCCTTTCAGTAGCATCCTCAGGAGGCATTTCTTCTTTTGGTACTCTGTCTTCCTCCTCTTCTACCTTTATGTCTTTGATCTCTGGTTCATTCTCTTCCTTAACTTTTACTTCCTTTGCATTTTCACATTCCTTACATGGCTTGTTAACAATCTTCTCTGGCAATGCCATTTGAAATTCAATGTTAGCTGACCTACAGTACTCCTCAAAACCATACAAGTATCTGGAAACATGAAAACAAATTACATTTGGGGAAAAGTTTCAAAACACTAATGTAGACTTCATGATTTTTTTTTTTAAGATTTATTTGTGCGTACACAACTGGGGTACAGGCCAGAGGCTCAGAGGAGGTGAGAGGCTTCACTAGAGACAGAGTGGGGAGCAGAACAGGTAGATCAATTAAGTACACTGCTGAGGGCAGCAGCAGGCGGCTTAGGAGAGGTCTGCCATGTCATGTGGTCACCTTTGGGGCAGGCGGGGATTGAACTCATGCAGAAGTGGCTTTAGCTTCTTAGTGTTATGCTTTAACCTGCTGCGCCACCAGGGAGGGCCGAGTTCATGATTTTTAAGTCTGTGTTCATTTTTTTTTAAGTCTCAGATATTAAGTCATAATAAAGTCAAATTTATTATAGTTCAGTGCTTCCCAATCTGTTTAACCCAAAGAAAAGCTTTTCAGAGAGAAAAAAAATGTTCATTAAAATGACTGCTAAACATGAAGATAGTAATTATTTTTTTTTTAACAAATGCAGCTTATTAAGTATTATTAATAGCAGCTATTTGTTGAGTACTTCTTAAATGCCAAGCATTAATTCTTTTAGTGTATGTAAAATCTCATTTAACCATCAAAGTAATTCTATGAGCAAATAGTAATACAAATTCCTCTTTACAAATGAGGAAACCGAGGCTTTAAGAGAACCAATAAATATGGCCCGAAGGTACAAACAACTCATAACTGGCAGAAGCCAGGATTCAAACCTGCATTTATTTGATTAAGGTTGTGAATTTGAACATCCACACAGCACTTTCCAAATTAACAACAAACTATTCTCAACCAAAAAACTCACAGATCTAGTAGAATACAATCTAGAAAATATTAGTAATTACGTGACCCAAAATTCCTGATTTCCTCTTAGGAAGGAGTAATGGTAGATTCTAACATGCTTTCTAGGTAAGACACAGGACAGAGCTGTATTAGTGCACCGACTTACTTTTTGTAAGCACACTTGACGTTATACCCCGCAGCTGAGTTTAAGACAGGGATGCCCAGGTCCTGGTAGACTTGTTTCCACACGGCTCCACTTTCAATCTAGTGGACAGAGTAAAGGGAAAACTCCCACATGAAAAGGTGTGCATAGAATACAACTCCACAAGCACAGTGTATGCGATATGCTTACATATATTGGTTCTAGTCTCACAAGAGTGAAAATATTAACCTCAATGGATTAGAAAAACTGGATCACAACATTCCAAACTAAGTTTTACTTCTGCCGGCTGTTGTCCTCTCCTTTCCTTTTTCTAATGAACTTGCCCCACTGAAATTTTAAAAATAGTAAGAAACTCACCAAAACAATTAAGCAGCTCACTAAATGGGGCGGAAATATTTGCACTCCTTATTAGCTCTGACGAGGCTGATACCCAGGATTTACAAGAAATTATCACAACTCCACAAACATGGGCAGAGCTGTTAGACAGGGACTTCTCCAAAGACAGACAGACAGACGGCCAACAGGCACGTAAAAAAAAGTCCATCACTATTAATCATCAGGGAGCTACGATTCAGAACCAGTGACATATCATCTTAACCCCTGAGAAAGGTGCCCTCGCAACCTGCTGCGGGTGTTAGCCTGCTCCGGCCCTATGGAAACAGAAAGGGGTTTCTCAAAGTGGAAGAATGCGTCTCCCACTGGGCCCAGCAGCTCCTCGTGCACATCTCTCCCAGAGAACACAAGACCGCCGCCGCAGAGGGACACGTGCACGCCTGTGTTGGCAGAAGCACTGCTTAGCACAGTTACGCTATGGACAAAACCGAAGTGCCAAAAACCAAAAAGTGGATCAGGATGATGTGGCACAGATACAAAATAAAACACTACGCAGCCATTAAAAAAGATGAACGTCTGCCATTTGCAACAACATCAATAGAACTGGAGAGATCAGCTAAGCAAAGGAACTCAGCAGTAAAAGGTGGACACAGAGGGTGTCCTTCATATGTGGGATACAGAGAACAAGACAAAGGCCGACAGTCTCAAACCAGCAGTGACCCTAGATCTGACTGTACAGCATCAGAGGCTGCTGGGCCGGGAGGGCAACAATCAAGTGGAGGGGGGGCCGATGGGCTGAAGGGGTGGAGGCCTGAGCAAGGACTCCATGGTGGGTGGGGCATGGAAACACACCTGCAAGGAAAGGCCCTGACCGCCAAAGCCCAAACAGCACTGTACCCCAATGGTCTTTCTTAAATAAACATTTATTTTCTCCTGCGGAAGCTCTATTTCATGCACTTTCCATGTTTTTCTCCATCTATTTTTATGAATAAATTTTAGATAAGAAAACATACATATGAAAATCATTTCACTTTTGATTTAATACTTACATTATCAAATCCTCCAAGTTTGTGTACAAGTCTGAATAACTTGAAGAGATTCAAATTCCGATAGCCAAGCACAGGCCGTTTGTTTATTGGTGTGCCTATTAAACGCAGGCAGGTTAGAGCCATGCTTCAGTTTTGTTTAGACTTTCAAATGACTCAATTATTAGCACCAAATATATATAGTGCAAGAAAAAAGCTCCTTATTCATCAAAAACACATGTTTACTACTGAAGCTCATTTCATTTAAAACTTTTTTCTCCTATCAGGTTCCTGAAATTTAACATTATTACAACCCCCTGTTGAAGTAAGGAATAAAACCAACAAAGCCAAATAAAATACTAATAACGATTTTAAAGCTCAGGAAAGAAAGCCTTATATAACTGAAAAACTTTAAATATTGATGGAAAACTTATTTTTATGATTCCTTATATTTTACTAACATACTAATATTCTAAACAATGATTTTAGAGTTAAGCTATAGTTCTATTGATTGTAACACATGAAAACACAGGGCAAAAATACTAGTCAGATGATCAAACCACCAGAGTGTAGTAGAGGGACTAGCAGGACAGATGTACACCTAGAGAACCATCCAAAGGAAGGCACGACTGGCCCAAGCGTCATATCTAAGTCTCTCTTTATAGAGTTTACCCATTTCCTTCACTTCTTAATTTATTGTGTACTTAGGTGAAGCTTAAGAGCACGAGACAGCTTTCTGCCTCTATCACTTCCTTTTCACAGCTTTCTCAGGAGAACAGAAACCATAAATGGCCCTGAGTGACAGGCCATGACTGCTGGGGGTCAAGTTCATCACTGGAGATTAAAGGTCTGCACTAACTTCTCCCAGTCTGCATTTTTGAACAGTAGTAGGCAGATGCAATAAGCTAAATCAAACTGCCTGGAGAATGTCACTTCCCCATTTCTGGCTCTGTGTGGATGGTTTACTTCTCTCCGCTTCACCCAGGGTTTGTGTTCTCTTTCACTCACTATCACACAAGTTCAGCACATGGTGATTTGGAACAGGCGGCTTTTCACTAAAGGCATCTGTTTAGACGCTACTGGAACGGTGCTATTCTGCACTGTTCCCATTCTGCACTGTTCCCAAGCATAGGGTTCTTTGGGAGCCCATGGATGGGAGGACAGGAAAAATACAGTCATTCCACTTACAATGGCAGATACTATGTTAGGTGCTAATGACTGGCTATCAAAAATGGCCAACTATAAGTATGAAATCAACTACGTTCTTAACTTTTTAATATTTATTTTATGCATACAGGCCAGAGGTGCAGGGGCAGTAAGAGGATTCACCAGAGACAGAGTGGGGAGCAGAACAGCAGCGGGCAGGTCAGGAGAGGTCTGCTGCGCATGTGACCCATGTGGGTCACCTCTGGGATTGGGGCTCGAATTCATACTGACGTGGCTGTGGCCAGCTTGCAGTACTGTGTCCTAACCCATTGTGCAACCAGGGAGGGCCCGAAATCAACTATGTCCTATGCCTTAAATTAATGTCACATGTTGAAGCTCAATTTAAAAAATGAGCTATGATTAACAGTGACATAAAACATAATGAACAGCATTCTTATCTTTAAAATATTGTCTATTTGCTACCTATAACAATGATAAATAGAAGAAAAACACTCACCTCTATCTTCCATAAATTTATACAACTGCTGAAGAAAGTTCTCCCTTTCTTCTGGAAATGGTTCTATTTCTTCCTAATTATAGTCACAGAAGGAAAAAAAAATGATTTCCCCCAATAAGCATTTTAATGGTATCAGCAGATTTCTAGATCAACAGCAAAGACTAATACTCCCTAAAATATTTCAAAGACTTTTTACAAGAAAACGAAAAAAAAAAAAACAGCAAAACACAAAGAAGTTAATACTGAGCTGTTCAAAACCAGAAAAGTCTACATCTAAAGCAAAAATCTTTGCTTTACAAAGTATGGCCTAACAGGTATCTCTACACTGAGAATCCCTCACTAAAGTAAATTCTCACATGAGAAACAGGAAGGTGGTTCAGGAACTTTGACCGTTATCAGAGATCTACTTGGCACATCAGGGCCGCAGGTTCAAGAAGACCTACTCTTACTCAAAGCGGGTCAGGATTCAACATGGAGACTCTACTGCTCCTCAGGGACTACGCAAGTCTGGTCCCATGGGCTGTGACTGTCAGTATCCTGCAGCACACTCAGCCAGACTGTACTTGTACTTCAAGCTTAGCGAATCAGTAAAGTGGGGAACAAACTTGATCTACAATACCTGAAGATTCAGACTTAGGAAAATCTTCAAGTAATAAAATAGTTCCCCGATTATCAATTACAAGGGAGGGACTAACTTCTTGCTGCTGTGGCCAGGGGCTGTGGCAGTAGGTCCTGAAGCAACCTGCAAGGAGCAGGGTAGTAGGTGAGATCGAAGAACTCATCGGTGCAGTGACCATCGTCCATTACCAAGCATTTAATGAGCGCCTGTCAGGGGAGGCACGTGCTGGGTGCTCAATCAAATAAGAAACAAGCCCACCATAGCACCTGATAGTACAGAACAGGGCTACGAGTACTGCAGAGAAAGATGCTCACACCACGACACCGAGGCTTCACAGTTCCTCTGGCTGAAACACGCACCTCTATAGTAAAGCCAGGCACACTCTGCCAGCTGCTCTGCCAAATGAGCCATCACTCATCTAAAAGTCACGTGCCTAATGTCACCATGTGCGTGAGATTTGCACCTTGATTTTAAAAGCTAGTACAGCAGAGGAAGACAAGTGAAAAACTAAAATAAAAGACATGCTGAAAGCCTATTTGGCTTGCAAGTTGGACTGAAAGTAAATGACAATTATTACTTTGTTTAGATTAAACCTCTATTTCTCAACTTAAATGTGGACTATGAATTCTGGGTTTTGTTAAGGTAGTCAGATATTAGCCTAGAAAGTCAATTTTCCAGATATTATCTAGTATCCTAATGGTACAGTATTTAACTTTCATAAATTACTAAATTTACTCTTGACGCAAACGTTTTTTTAAAAGACTGACTTATTTATGCACACAAGAGCTGGGGTACAGACCAGAGGTACAGAGGATTCAGAGGAGACAGAGTGGGAAGCAAAACTGGTAGACTACTGAAACACACTGCAGAGGGGGCAGCCGAGAGACACGGGGTCTGCTGCGCCCTGTGGGTCACTCCCTGGCCGGAGATGGATCGTGTGCTGCAAGGGCTGGACAGCTTCCCAGTGCTGAGACTTACCCTCCAAGGAGGGCTTTGATGCAAACATTTTTAAGTTTACACTTAAGAAAATGTTTAATTTGAAAACCAGGTATGTTTTTACAAAAGACATTTGCAAAACATAAATCTGAACACCAAAAGTCTTAGTAATTAATATTTACTGTTCATCTGTTACATGTTACCTACTATGACGAAGATTTTGAGTATGAATATAGTAATAAGCCAGGGTCCTTACACCCTTGAGAAGCTTACAGACTAGTAGGGGAGAAAGCTAATGGACAATAAATATATTTATGTGTATGTGTACACATACAATAAAGTATGCTCAAGCAACAAGAGGGATTTACACTAGCAAATGGAGTGACTAACTTCCTGCAGATGAGGGAGGTGATGGTTCTCATTTCCCTTGAGAGAGGCGACATGTCACAGGGCTCTGAAAGTGAACAGGAATGGCCGCGGCGAGCTGAGGGAGGAAACGGAAGGGCACGGCAGGCCAGGCGCTGGTGCGTACACAGGCGAGAAGTGGCAAGGTGTGCAACCCGATGCTGCTACTCACAAAGTCCAGAGTGAGAGGGTATTCCACAGAAGTGATGAGGAGGGGAGAGAGACTGGTCTATAGTGAAGCCTGACTTTCAAAGTGGTGAAAATTTTGAAGCAAGGGATTAACTGTTCATTTTAGAGTTTAAAATAGCAAGACAGAGAGAAGACTAAAGCTGGGAAACTTTTACCCTATACGTTACAACAGCTTACTATATCAAAACAAACTCCAAAAACAACCCTATTTTGTGAATAGTTGTTAACTACAGTTAAATGGAAGAATTTCATAACTTACCTAGAAAGTATTACGTATCATTGACAAATTGTTTCAGTCTCCTAACATCACTGAATGCAGCTCACTTTGTGGTCAAATAAAGCAGTTTTCACTGTCTGCCCCATTCACTTCAGAACTTTTAGGAAGTTGTTCAACAAACCACTAGTGGAGGACAACCTGCAACCTGAAATTTCACGGACTCCTAGCTATTCCTGGGCCTTCTCACGGTGAGATCTAAAGGTCTGAATGATCTACCTAGGACTATCCACCCATTTGTAATAGATAAAATGATTCAAGATTTTCTGAATTAGAGATATTAACCTCTGCTTTTGCATTAATCATTCCATTAATATGAGATGGAAGGTATGTTTCATACTTTTGTGGATGTTTTCAATAGATTATGCTGATGCATACATTATATGAAGTGATAGCTACTTACACAGTGCCGAAAAGTATATGAAGTTTTGTTATGTTATATAAGTATTTTCTTAATCTGATGAATCAAGGCCCAGGAAGATCATGAAATATTCTTGAGTTACTGGAATAATTTTTTGTAATCTTTTTAATTTTATGAGATCGTATTTCTACCTTAAGGTAGGCAAAGAAACTATGTGATATTATATAATGACTACCACAAACAATTTTATTACAAAATATTTCTAAGACTAAAAATATTTGTTATTAATGACTTAATGCCAAATTCCAACAAACTGCAACTCAATTTTTAATTTTAAAAGGCATCAACTGTTTTTACTTACCTCCTCTTCACTGCTATTATCCTCCTTTTCTTTTTCATCATCTTCTTCTTCCTCTTCTTCCTCTGCTTCACTGCTAGAACTATCTTCTTTTAACTCAGTCTTCCAGTTAGCAGGAATAGTTTTACTTTTGTGAAATTCAAGAGCCTGATCAAAGGCTGCAAGAGATCATGAAATATGTGAACTGTAGATAAAGACAAATGATTCATCTAAACACATTAAATAATCAAGAAAACTACTGTGTGGATACTGGTGACATGTATAAAGTGCTGTGTCTCACACACTATGTCAATTACTTTTCTATGCAGCAACTCATTCAATCCTAAAAGTCTATTCACCAGGCACTTCATGTAATAGATTAAAAAAACACTACTATTACTGGTAGATAATTTCTAGTCAAGTAAATACTGAAGCAAAGAGCAGTTTTCTTCTTAAAAACTTAAGCATATCTACTGCCATTGACAACTTTAAAATGTGTAAATTCTTTATCACTTACTCAAGACCATACACCTATTATAAACCAAGGCACTGAGGCATTGTAATAAATATACATTATTGGACATTTATTGTAAATATATTCTCTACATTTCTATTTAAATATGAACTAAGATTATAATATAAAATTAGCAAGACAATTACTCTAATTTTACAATACATGGAAATAAATTATAACCCATAAATTCTGGAAGATTCTTAACCAGGCAAAATGAAAATGAATAGCTATTTACAAGGCCAAAAATCAAGTAAGGAATTTGAATTACAGCGTTTTCTTCAATAAAGTATAACTACTATTATATTTAGTGAGAAATGCCAAACCAAAATTACTTTTGTTCCTGTTTCTATCACCCTCTGGAACCAAAAATTTATTTATTAGACAAAGGTTAGACTATCCAAATAGTTGATGATAGAGTTCTTCCCACTTTTAGATTACTGCCTTCAATTACAAGCTTAAAAAAAGTGAAAACCTCTAACAAGACACATCGTTTTACAAAAGTAAATATAAAAAAAAGGTAACTTAAAAAAATTAGAAGCAATGAAAATGTAACATTCAAAGCCATTCACTGGTTTTTAAATCAACTATATTACAAAATCACATTTACCTTGTTTTAATACACTGTCAGACTTTGGTGTGGTGTCACTTGTAATTTCATGAACATCTTTCCTTGGTACTGAAGTACTATTTTTTTTTTTTAATTTAACGAGGGAAAAACACAAAATACAACAAGATTAATTAAGAATATAATCACACTCCGCAGAAAGACAGCAAAGTAGCGCTTTTTTCAGTGATATTGGCCGCACAGATACTATGCTAAGCAGGATGCTAAGCCGTGATCATGTACAGAAGGACCCTAACTAGAAGGTGTCTTACAAGTCAAGTGTTCTCAAGCATCAGAGCCCCTGCTCAGTGCAATACGAGTAACACCAACATACTGAAAGTAACAACAAAGAGCAGAGCACATTAACCTGATCATAAACGTCAAACACTAAGAATTTTTTATTTATCTTGAGTTAATCACAAGAAATTTCTAACCTTAAGATTGGAAGAAATGTATTACTTCATAATGTGAATGTTGTTTTAAGAGAGTCTTTCAAACAGCACTGTTGCTGCTAAAGCAAATGTTAACAGCACACTTCTAATGTACATAAGCAAAGTTCTAATCCACAAATTAAAGTTTTAGATGGTACTCCCCAACCGTAAAAAGTGAACATCACCCACTGGGAGAGGTTCTAACATAAAGATAACATCTTTCTTGCTTTATAATAGTATATCATCAGTTAGCCTTTCTGCATTTGGTTTACATGAATTTATCCATACTAGCCTGAAAATTATTCTAACTACCCTTAATTATTCTACTTAATTTCTATTTTAAAAATTTCAAATATGAACAAAAGTGGATGGAATAGTGCAATGAAACCCTGTGCTTCTATTACTTAACTACAATAACTGTTAATATAACTTAATTCAGTACTTCAACTATATACCTATTTCCTCCTACCACAAGGGGATTTGTTTTTGAAACAAATCCCTATCATTTTATAATTTGCTTTATGATGTGTCATTCTGGATCTTTAAAAAAAATTTTGAATGTAACTATACAATTATCACACACACAAATTAACAATAATTTACAAATATAAAATTTGCATTTAATTTGAACACTCAAGTATCTCTACTTATCTCAGTTTTGTTTAAGTGGGTTTCATAGATTGGTTTTAAAAATTACATTTCAGAACTTGAAAGCTCAAACACTAAATTTTAAAACATTATGATCCTTTCATTCACCCAATAAGGCTCAGTATGAAATATATGAATTTTATAGTCCTACAGTTCTTAAAGAAAAAAGGAAAATTTATAACTCAGTTCTAAGAATGGTGTACATGAAGTTACTTTATTAACATTCACATTTATCTATCTATAGCAACCTAGTAACCTACCTCAGCTTATCACAGTAGTCAATGTTACACAAGTATCCATCTAACCATGAGACATAATTAACAGGCAAATATTTAGATGGTAGTGAAAATACCAAAATAAACCAGGAAAGACACACCTAGTGACATGAAAAACTACCACATTCGGAAGCATTCTTTTTATTTTATTCATTTTTTTTTAACATTCTGAAACATTCTCTATGAAGACCCAAGGTCGTTGGAAGCAATTTATCACCCAGCATCCGATGTGCAAAAAGAGCCTATTTTCATACTAAGAGAATTATACTTACAATTTGCCATCTTTGAAAGATCGAACGAGAATATTGTCTTTTTTCACAGCAATTTCATCACTACAATCAGGACAAACCACCTTTAAGAAAGACGTGATGCTATTATAAATAAAAGCACATTTATGTAATGATCTACTATCTAAACCCCTTTAATCTAAAAACAGTGGCGTGAGGACAAACAGGGACACACAGGCGAGGTGCTAGCGACCGATGGTAGTCGGTGCCCATGTGGCCTGTGAAAGCAGAAGCGTGGCCGCGAAGCTGCACAGAGCGGGGTGGGGTGGGGCAGGCAGGGCAGGGCAGGGCAGCAGGCAGCGGCCGCACCTGGCCGGAACAGTGGTATGTGGCCCAGGCACCACACCACAGCCGCAGCCACCTCTACTCTAAACCAGAGACAAGGCTTGACATACTGTTTACCTTCTGTTATTTTTTTAAAGATCTATTTATTTATGCACACAGAACTAGGGTACAGGCCAGAGGTGCAGGGGTGGTGAGCGTCTTCCCCAGAGACAGCGGGGAGCAGAACAGGTCGACTGACAAAGCACACTGCTGAGGGGAGCAGCAGGCGGGTCAGGAGAGGTCTGCCGCGCCCCGTGGGCCACCTCCACGACGGAGATCGAAATCATGCTGCGGTGGCTGTGGCCAGCTTGCGGTGCTGCGTCCTAATCTGATGCGCCACCAGAGTGGGTCCTGTTTACCTTTAAATAGGCGCTCTAACACATACTACAATTTCTTCATAATTATACCCACTCTAAATTTTAAAGAAAATATTGTAGATAGTACCACAGATTATAACCAGTAAATATTTTAGAGTGGGCACCTTCCTGGGATCTGTGTAAGGCTCATTACTAACACTGAAAGATTTCTATCACTTGAAGTCACCTTAGCTGTGAAAGGATAAAGTGTGTCTTCCACAAGGTGGTGATAATGCAATGCAAGACACCTGTGATTTTTTTACTGCTTTACACCCAAGCCAGCCCACTCTGTACACCACGAATAAGTTAACAGCACAGTTCACACAGGAACTGGGATAGAGGTCAGAGGTGCAAGGGCAGGGGAGTGGGTGGGGTGCTGAGAGGCTTCCCCAGAGACAGAGTGGGGAGCACAATAGGCAGTTTACTGAGATCCACTCAGTTATGTCTTCACCCAATGAGAGGAGCAGTGGCCTAACAGGAGAGGCCGCTGTGCTATGCGTGGGTCAGCGCCCTGCCCCCGGACCGAACTCAGGCTACAGTGACCACAGCACCGAGACCTAACCCCTAGGCCACCAGGGAGGCACAGTATACTTTTATATACATACATACACACACACACACATACACATACACACACATGTATATATATATATATATTTAATTAACTAAGTGTAACAGGCTGATTTAAAGGTTTATTTCTTCACTAGCTCTGAAAAATGACCTCCAGGCATATAAAGGCACGTGCTCTTACCACACAGCGCAGAGGAGCTAAAGGGCTAGGAACAGGTTAGTTTTAGCTCAGTTAAAGCTATTAAACATTTTCTGCACTTTCATGTAGCAATACTTAAATGTTGATGGGATGAAAATCATTCAGATACAGGGGGATTTACCCCCCCCATCATTTACAAGTCTTGAGATAAGTATTATTTTTCCCTTCGTTCATCTAGTGACTCTAGAGACATTACTTCAACCCCAAAGTATCACCCAAGATGTGGTGGCCTGAACCAGAGCCCTGCCCCTTTCCGAGGACATTTGCACTGAGCTGCCAGGACAAGCGCCTAACAGCTGCACTCTGGGCTGCACTGTGGCTTCACCCATGGTGGAGGCTGCTTCCTTGAAGGTGCACGGAGTTCAGTTCTGAAAGCTGAGTAGTAATCGGTTGGGCACATGGTGTGTGTGTGCGTGATGAGTCACAGGGAAGCCCTGACAGCAGCAACCGGCATCTGAAAGGAACGGACCCTGCAAGCGCAAAGCCCATCCCTGGAGGTGAGTGCGGACACCGCACACACGCTGCCTGGACTGAGAGGTAAGCAGCCCGCAGCCCACGCCACTCCCATAAGGGGAGCGTGCCAAGCAGGATAATGCCGCAGCAGACAGTCTGCTACGGAGGAAATGGGCCAGAGGAGGAAGAGCTGAAAGAGGCCAAGTGCTTACAAGCCTCCACGAGACACGCTTTCTTACAGAGGGAGTACCAGCAACGGCAAAGAGAAGAAACAAGAACGTTAAAAGGTAGTCAGGGAACAGAGAGAAGAGAGAAGAGCATGCTGAGGTGACTGCTTTGTGCAAATGGCTCCATTCACTGTGAGAGGAACGACAGGGAAGGGCTAAGTGTGGGGGGGAAGGGGGAAGAAGAAGCTTGGCGTTAAGCCGTGTCTAAAAGACACACTCGAAGGTCGGAAGTGGACAATACCCAGGTCTAGAGCGCAGAAATCCCAATTCTAAGATTAAAAACTTGGGGGTTGGCAGATTAAACAAAATGGGCCTGAATTTTCAGCCTAACACTGTGAGTCAAATCCACTTCTCTTCCTCTCAAGAACTGACAGCTACTCGAGGACGCCCCCAGCAGTCCCATGGCCAGGACTCGGAGCTCTCCGGCTGGGTTCCCGCCTCACTCAGTGAATGACATTACATCCCTGGCCCCCAGGGAATGTCAACCTGTTGTCAATGCAACGGATGCTATAGAAAGTCATATGAGGTCACCCCCGGATGAATAGAGATTAATATGTGCTAAACTTTGAACAGAACCTTCTTGAACAATGGATTCAAGAAGAAATGGTGAAGTGCACTGAAAAAGAGGCATTGAAGCTAAGATCTGCTCTTATTAAAGTAAGAGTAGATCCCACTTAGTTTTCAGTTACATTTGTGTTAAATGAGACCACTTAGGTGAACAAGTTAAGCACAGTGCCTGGCCAGACTCAGCACATGGGGGTCTGTATAGTTCTAAGAGTAGCAATATCTTCTAAAAAGCAGGTATTGCCAGAACACTTGTAAAATTTACCCAATATAAACATAAATTTTGAGGATAGAAACAATTATTTTTGTATAAGTATGTCAACATTGACTTACAATATAATTTCACACTCTAGTTGACAAGAACTATCACTGTCCAAAATGATCCCAACTTTATTTCTTTAAAGATATGTTTTATTTATTTATGCATACAACAGCTGGCGTCTAGGCTAGAGGTGGGGGTTGGTGGTGTGAGTGAAAGGATTCACCAGAGACAGAGTGGGAAGCAGAGTAGGCAGACTGACTGAAATACTCCGCTGAGGGGAGCAGCGGGGAGACAGGAGAGGTCTGCTTTGCCATGTGGGTCACTCCCTGGCCAGGGTTGGAATCTGTGCTGCAGCGGCTGGTGACAGTCTCACAGTGCCGAGACTTAAGCCCTTGCCCCCAGAGAGACCCTTTGTATCAATTTTAGGGGGAAAATAACATACATCAGTAATTCTAAGAGTTTTAAAATAATGAAATGGTTGCCCAATCATAATTACCTTTCAACACCCTAAACCTAAAATATTTTTCTCATCATCAAAGAAACTATTTAGAAATGTTGGCAAAAATCTTAATATCAAAAATACCAACAGTGAAAAATTTTAATGCTCTATTGTTTAAGAAGATACACAGAACTATTTTTAAATACATGTTTTCCAAAGAAGCTGTTAAAAGAACAACTTCAGGGAGAAAGTAATGATCACAAATATTGACACTTGCATTTTAGATTACCACTAAGCAAAAGCTCAACAAGTTAACTGACAGTCCTAAACACTAATAAATAACTTTTGCAATACTGCTCGATTACATCTAAATGAGAGTAAACACCTTCCCACTTTATAATCCCTGTAAAAGTTTTAGCACACTCCTTGTACATAATAACCCAACAAGTGTGTGGTAGAATGGATGGAAAATGTGGAGGTACAAAGATGTCATATAATATGCTTATTAAAACAAATAATTATCATTAGTTATAATTATTTATTATTAATACATTATTATTTATTATTGAGCAGTTAAAAAAAAATTTTTATGTATGCTTACAAAAACGGTGTAGGCCAGAGGTGCGAGGGACTAGAAGGTTCACCAGAGACAGAGCAGGGAGCAGAACAGGCAGATCTACTGAAATTCAATGCTGAGGGGAACAGTAGGTGGGTCAGGAGAGGTCTTATGCGTCCTGGGGGTCACTCCCTGCCTGGGATCGAACTCGTGCTATGGTGGTTGCGGACAGTTCACAGTGCTGACACTTAAGCCCTCTGACCACCGGGGAGGCCCCTACCAGGTGCTTATTTTGTGCAAAACACTGAACTAAGCATTTAGCATGAAGATGTTCACTGGAAAGTAAGACAGGTATAATACAGTAGAAACAGGAGAAAAGAAAAGCCCTTTGCAGACTCTTGCGTGATGAGTTTAGGAATTTTAAAACCTTGCATTATTAATTTTCTACCCCCAAATAGAACAGTACAATGAAATCCCATGTATCTAGTCTCTAAAATTATACTTTTGCTTTTCTAGATGCCTCTTAAGAGTTTTTATAGCCAAAGACAATTTTGAAAGCAATCTTTGTGTAAACTGCATACAAAACAATGTGCCCATTTTGTACTTATGAAGAGAACACATAAATCAACTGTTTTCTTCATTAACTTGTACAGTAGAACAATAAAATCTTTTTTATTTTGAAGCTACTCACCAATGCAGGAAACCACAGTGCTTTCTTTTTATCCAAACTAACATAATCCACACATACAACTTTTCCCAGGAGCTCATCAGTCTGTTTCCTATCATCCTCATCTTCATCACTGGAGGATGAAGAAGACTCTTCCTCTGGTCTATGGAAAGAAAGAAAATATTTCCATTTATCTTCACAGACACTAAGGACACCAAGCTGATAAAACAGGTATTCTAGAAGTCCTGTGTCTAAGATTTCTAAAACCAGAATGTGATTAATATACATATTGAAATATTTTACTAAACTTCTAAAAATTAATAAGGGTCATCGTTAGAGGCAAGAACACAATTTTCCTTAAAATCTTTCAGGTTAATTTAGTGCTAATTTAAAAGATTAGGAAAGATCAGAATAGACTATGAACATTGGTTACCAAATTCTCAAAAAGCTGAAGATACCCTCAGACTACACTAAATTATAGTAGGTCCCACCTTGGATTCAGAGTTATACAGGCAACAACTTTATCTCCCGATGCGAAGCTAGTGTGAATCGGGGCCTACCCTCACACTGGGGTGGCAGGCCCGGGAGACTCCTGCACACACTGCTGTCTGCCCCACACCAGGGCTGAGGAGCGTGCGGTCCTGCTCTCTGACGCGTGTCACACGTTCCTTTCCAGCACGAGTTTGCATGCTAGACTGGTGGAAAGCTAGTCAATGTCAGAAGAGAAAAGGAACAACCTATAACCCTCCACTCAATGACAGCGGAAAGTAAGGTAAAAAGTAAAATTCTACACAGGGGAAAAAAAAACACAAAAATTCTATGCTGAATCTGTCTCTAAGAGAGCTCACAATTAGTGCTAACATAAGGGTTCCAACAAGTAAATGCTCAGATGTTCAGAATGAGGAAAGAAACTAAGAAATATTAAATAGACTGCAAGGTATGTTCTTTTATAAAAGAATGGCTAGTACTGTTTTCGAGATAGTTGGCAAAGAACAAGATCACTGACAACATAAATTGCAAAATTATTTAAAAAATTTAAAAATACTATGTTTGGTGATTTGGGGCAAATCTATATTCTAAGTTTTCTCTGATGCCTTTCCACAGGGATGACAATGTAAACTGTCACCTTTTTATATATTCCAATACAAATATAAATGAAGGAGAAACTAATTTAATAGCATCGAAGATCTTAGTTTGATTTTGGAGACTATTTCAATATTCTGTCCTCTAATAAGAACAAACATTCAAAGTCCGCTAGTAAATAGAAGTACTACAAAATGGCACTTGAAGCTGTTTACCACCTACTTAGAAAGTAGGGAAACTACCATGTCCTCATATTAGCAAAGCACAGGATTCAGCTTGGGATGGTAATGACTGGATTCCAAGTCTGATCTCTCCTTGACTAGAAGAGCTTCAAGGACAATACCTTTTCTCTTTCCACTTTCTAATGACTGCAGAACACAATCAACCTTAACCATAGTTATTGCTTTTGCAGAGAAGTCACATTTAGTTGGGGTTTTATGGAAATGCCTTTACATCATTATCATGGCAAGACAGAAAGTCACAGTATAACAGAACAAATATCAAGTCTGTAAAACACAGAGAGAATGGGCTTTACTTGCCCAACAAAGTTATCTGCATCTTCAAAATCTCTAACTTCTTTTTCAGACTTAGTAAGAATGAAGATTTCAAATGCCAAAAGTTACACACACACACACAATTATATGATTTACTATATGAAGTATCTATAAACTGGCATGCCAACTACGGTGTTCCATTCTAAAGCCCTCCTTTACCTCACCTACTCAAACTATATACCGGCACTGCTTCTCTTTCCTATATTAGTTTTTCCTGCCTCTGCTAGACTGAATCCCATAAGTACAGTTATTTCCATTAATATGTTGTTACTTCTCCAGCTTAAGAAAAGTTATTACCACATAGATGCCTTGTATGTGATGTGGTAAACATACATCTGAGAAGTGTGATCATCAATTTCTGCATCACATCCAATGCTGTGAACCAGTGAGAAAGAGGAGGAGAGGGGAGGGGAGGGGAGAGGAGGGGAGGGGAGGAAACAAGAGGGGAGGGGAGGGGAGGGGAGAGGAGGAGTCACCTGACTTTACTTTTTCTACCACCTTCTACAATCTCATTTCTTTATTCTTCTTTGTGGCAAGACAGCTTGGAATGTTCTTTCCCAGATACCTGGAAACTGTTTCTGTTCAAAAGTTACCTCAATTACCCTGAATACCTAATTTAACATTACAATCTAACCATCCCAATCACCCCTTACTACTTATTATTAGTCCATGGTATTTACAAATTCTACTGTAAAATGCAAATTACTTATTTCTTTTTCAAGATTTATTTTATTTATTTATACATACAAGAGCTGGGGTACAAGCTAGAGGTGTGGGAGGTGAGAGAGGATTCGCCAGAGTCAGAGTGGGGAGTAGCACAGATGAACTGACTGAAATACTCTGCTGAGGAGAGCAGCTGGCCAGATAGGAGAGGTCTGCTGTGCCATGAGGGTCACTCCCTGGCCGGGGACGGAATTTGTGCTGCAGCGGCTGCACACAGCTTCACAGTGCTGAGACTTACCTTGCACCACCAGGAGGGCCCCCTAAATTATTACTTATTTCTTACATTCATTCTTTATTATCCATTCCCCCTATATGTGAGAATGTAAGCGCTAAACACAGAATTTATAAAGGCCTATTTTGTTCACTAAAATATCCCCAGTACCTGGACAGTGCTTGACACAGTACAGATGCTCAAATATTTGTTGACTAAATAAATAAACTGAATACATTTCTTTCTTTCTACTGTGGTACTTCTGTTATTATTTTTCCTGAAATCACAAAATGTATACAATCAGTATAATACATATCATCAGTATAAGCCATACCATTTTACCTAAGGGTTTGTTATTCCTTTTAGATGAGGCCAGGAAATTGTTTACATAAGAGAGGTAATTCAATAAACTGATGACCTAAAATAAATGAGGCATCAAAAATATTTCAAGGGACCAAAATAGAGTAAAAAGAGAACCTGCCTAGTTTTTATTCCCTTCTGACACTGCTGCTTCTTTGGTAGCAAAGTAGCTGTTTATAAAACCTTAACAAAATAATGCACTTCTGACTATGCCACTGGAAACAAAGCTAATTAAATGGAAATATTTGCCACAACAGACTAACAGGTAATCACTTACAGCTTATCACACATGACTACTAACTGTAAGCTAATTATAAATCAAGTAAGATCCTTTAGACATATGCCCAAGAATAGCAAATAATGAGATACAAATAGAAAACTGAGCATGGAAATTCAGAGTCTCAATCTTTGAAAAGCAATTCTAACTTCAATGATCCTGATTATTTCAGGAAAGTAATTAACTATTTCTAATTTTGTACAGATAATTAAAAATCTGTATCCGTCAGCATCACGAAGATTGACAATGTAGATAGCTTCTTAAGAGATCAAAACATAGAGAATATATGGCTAGATATCCATTTCCCAAAAAAAAGGTTTATATTTTTTTTCCTAGTTTTTAAGGAAGGAAACGAGAACCAAGTTGGCTTATCAAAACAAAAGCAGCAAACTAAAAGATCTCCCAGAATTAGACAGTGATGCTGACTGTGCAATTTCTTAAATGCACTAAAGATTACTGGACACTATATATTTATTTAAAAGGGTGAATTTTTTTTAAAAAAAAAAGGTGAATTTTACGTGAACTACAACCATATCCCATAATTTCCTACCCCACACCCCAAACATTTGCAGACCTGCAAATATCAGGAACATGTCATTAGCATATTGGGTAAATATCATCACTGTTACTCATAAATGACACCTTACAAGAATCACAGCTATTATAATTTATTCTTCTGAAGGTGGAAATAATGAAGAAAGTAAGTGGCTTTACTATGGTAGCAACTACATAGGTTATTGGCAAAAACATTTTTGAGGGAAAGGCACAAAAATATGGCTATAACTTCAGATGGTCTGTATTTCAAGCAAAATGAAACAACATTGGCACACAGTAGATAAATGATAAGGACAAAATCCAATCAAGTTATATGTTGATCAAAATCATCAGTAAGTTTCTATTAAAAGTTAACCTACAGGAAAAAAAAAAACACTTGCAAATATACTGGGATTATAATGTAGAATATCAATAAAACAGAAAGGTGTCAAAAATAATCAATTTGGGGACACTTGAAAGCAGATTAATTAGTATATGGATTAACAAAAATAGTGATAAATGACTTCAACAAGGAGTCCCGTGAATTCTGGGAAAGGATAAATTTATCTTTGCACAAAAATAAATCTGAAAGGGCAGTCAGAGATTCATAGTGAAGATCAGCTGAGTAACGGAAGAGGAAATGAAGACCAGATAAATGACCTTTAGATCCAGACCCAACACTGTTGGGTTGAGGAACAACACTTTGAAGACAAGGAGAAAAAACTCTGAGGAAGAATAGTCAAGAAGATGGACATCTCCCACGGCAGCATTTGTGATGCTTACAAGGAGTATCGTGCTAAGTCTAGAACATGCCCACGTCTCCTGGCAGTGAGAGTGATTCCAACAGCGAGGGGGGAAGAAAGCTAAAAGAGATCACGGAAGAGCTGGCTTTCATTTCCTAAGCTGGCAGTCCGTAACCTTTTGCCTGCCTTCACACTGTGCACACTTGTGTCACATTCCAACAGCAAGTTTTTCATTACACACATTTTCAACAACTGAAAAATCACTAGCTTAGAATGGGTACTAGGCTCTTTAGAAAGCAAAGACCAACCTGCTTACTGACAACTGCATTTACTCTCACATTCAAGAAAGCGAGATCTCAGATAGGAAGCAAAACAGACCGCTTGACAGATAACACCTTTGGTCATTTTTGAAGACCAATCTTTGTGGTATTCTATGAATTTATGTTTATACTTCCAGATAACATCTGTAGAAAGGTACTAGATACCTTTTTTTAATTATTATTTAAGATTTATTTATTTATTCATACAGAACTAGGGTACAGGCCAGAGATGCGGAGGGTGAGAGGATTCACTAGGGACAGAGTGGGGAGCAGAACAGGCAGATCAACGAAGTACACTGATGAGGGAAGCAGTGGGTGGGTCAGGAGAGGTCTGCCGCGCCATGTGGATCTCCTCTGGGGCAGGAGGGGATCGAACTCATGCGGAAGTGGCTTAGGCTTCTTAGTGCAGTGCTTTAACCCCCTGCGCTACCAGGGAGGGCCTAGATACCATTTTTTTCTAAGTAAAAAATACCTGACACACACCATACTGTATATGTATGTAATGTAAATTTATATGGGAAATGGTTTCCTAAGAATTCAAATAATAGAGCCAAAAAGAGTTTTACCTGTCAGATATGAATACCAATAAGCAGAAATTATACATATACATTAATATAAACACATATTGCTATTTCATAAAAATTTCTCATTCAATACATGGTAATGGTATTAGTATTACACACTGAATATTCATTTAATCTTTGTTAATAATTCTTAAGCAATAGGTAACACGATGTCTCAATTTTCCGGATGAGAGCACCAAGGCATGAAGGGACCCAGTGGCTGCCGAGTTCACTGACAAGGAGGTGGAGGCTAAATGGAGGCCAGCTGCGACCTGGCCGCCCGGCTCTGCAGTTAGCCCTCCGACAGCCCTGGTGCTGCCACTCGCAAGAGTCACACAGATTAAGAGTCTTCGCTGGTGAAAGAAAAATGCCAGAAGAAATATACCCCACACCTCAAAGTCCTGTTGCCATAAGTCACAAGTAAGCGTTGACTAAAGAACTGAGTGACTGATAGTGGATTAATAGTGGATAAGTTTTCATTCACAATTAAGTCACTCTTTTTTCAAAGAGGTATCAAAAGATTTGAGTGCTCTAGTGAATATTTTATGGCATCATAATAGCCCTCTGAAAGAACTGGAAACGTCACCAGATCATAGAAATATCTAATAATCCGAACAGGACATTCACACTAGTAATGCCACTGTATCCTTCTGCTAGCACATCCAACTTTTAAAGGTCTATGTAAAAACAAAAATAATAGTTACAATCCAAATGTCCAGAAAATAACCAACTCACCAACAAGCTGAATCACAAGTGACAGAAATTATTCACCCAATAATTAAGAAAAGCATTTTCTAAAAGGTTCAGCAAGCTTAGGGAGGAGCAAAATGCATGTCCCCAGTCAGTCACAAGTAGCAGTGCTGAATCTGCTGCAATATTAGTTTTTTCAAAGCAAGAATCTAGTCTTTAAATTTCCTCTTTCAAATGAGTTATTGCTTTCCTGTTAAACTTATTTTCTAATATAAGTGAAGTATTTTATCTAAACAAAAGAGGAGGTGGGAAAGGCTTGAGTAGGTGAGCTCCAATTCTGGTCTTCTCTGCTCCTGTGTTTCTCAGATTAGCTGCTTTTTGTCCCTGAGGTCAATTTCCCTTTTTTTTTTTTTTAAATAGAGAAAACAAACCAACCTACCTGTAGTGGTTTCATGCGCGGCTGAAACTAAGGAATATGAGCAACAGTGCTTACCCAATTTCTATCTCCAAAGTTCAGCAACCATTAGATTTAATGCCTCATTCTATACAGAAGAAAGCCTTCTTTGCACTGACGTTACCACCGACTCAGCTCAATCTCTGATTTCAATAACGACCTGAACATGCTTGTGCTTAGACACATGAAAAATTTTAAAACTATACCCAAGTGAAATACTCACAACTGCGTTTAAACAACTCCTAGTGCCATGCAGAGCGGCGTGGGGCGTGAGCACAGAGGTGGCAGGGGGATGGAGCCCTGGGACTAGGGCGTGGGTGTACTCTGCAGGTGGGGGGGCTTGGGGGACCCCAGCGGAGAAGCCACAGTGTCCAAAAACCCCACAGAAATAAGTAAACAGGAAAAAAATCTTAGGATAAATGAAAAGCTACTTTCCCTATCCTGCCCCTTCCAATGTCCTTCCCCTGCCCATGGGCACAGCTGTTTCTCTGGTAATGGGACCTCATCTCTACACATTCTGTACCTCTCACTTTATATATCTGACAGTATCTTCTCGACTTCGTGTTGCTTCATACTTAAGTTACCTTCCCACCTCCATCTTACCAAGAGTCTTTTTCTTCCATGACCTTTTTGAAGTCACTAAGTGCCTTTGTCACTGTCTCTCTAATATCAGCTCTACCCCGGCCCGTGTCCTGTTAAGTCCGCCTTCTGAAGGCAAACTTCCATCCCTCCAGCAAGTCAGCATTCTCCTGACCACTAACATCTAGTGTGCCTACTGAGAAGCCTGATACATTTTGCCTCTTAATCCTCAGCATAAATGGCTCTTCTTTCTGTACCTCTTTGAAAACTGTTTCTTTACCCTGGACAAGCTGATGTTTCATGACCCTTTAAATCTTGTGATCCTGTTTAACTTAGAGGCCTTTGAGCCTAGGCACATTTCACTGAAAGTAATTAGTTAAATATGTAGAAAATGTCTCACAACTGTAACAAGGCGTAAAAATTAAGTAAGACAATTCCTGCTGTCAGGGAGATGAAAATGCTAGGAATCATTACAATGGTAGTAAGAGATGAAATGTAAGCTCACATATTAGATAAATGCAAAGAATTTAGAGGGTTGAAGAGAGGAAGCACATTTGTTTTCAGAGAAATAGTGCGGAGACACAAACCAGGCCACACAAAAACAGAATCATTTCTACTGAGGGCTGAGGAGGAGCAAGCCAGTGACAGCAACGTGTGGCATTAGAAACAGAAATCAAAGCAGGATACCAGGAAAACAAAGGGTACACCCAGGAAATAGTGAGGAAACACTTCCACCCTGACCACAGCACCAAGACACACGTGAGAACAAACGTGCAGCAGACACACAGCTGTTAGGACTGGCAGAGCACGGAGAGCTCAGATGCTCATGCTGAGGAGACTGAAATTCCCAGTAACCCAGTTAGCATTTTACAAATTACAATTTCAAATTAATAGCTATTAGAAACAGTATTAAGAGAAATGAATTCAAGTTCAACTAACAGTCATGAAAATGAACTTACATATGATTAGATCTTCTTCCTCTATTTGTTTTCTTTCCTATGACTGGAGTGCCAAAATGTTCAGGGTTGGTGAGTGGGAGCTGGTCTAATGTCTGTGGGTAAGAACATAAACCCAATCAAAAGTTATTATGTTGCAATCTTTTGTCTTTTAAACCAAATCATTTTAAGCATATGCTTAAATTTTGAAATTAAAAACTACCCCAAGGAGGACTAAAATAATTTTCCTAAAGATTAAGAATAACTCTAGACACAAATACATATAGAATGAAGATGAACAAACTCATTACTGAAAAAATGCTAGCTATTCTCTCGAGGTGATTTCTTCATCTACTTGAAGGTTCACAGACTTATAAAAATGATTAAAATACAAAACAGAGCTCACAGAAGCATAGACTGGAGGGATAAGATACCTAATTCCTAAGTCATGGTTAATTACAGCTCAAATTTTTCTAAATACATAGGGAATCATAATCTGTAAAACAAAAAAATCTTAGTAAATAATAGAGACAAAATTAATTATCAGGGTAAGAGTCAAATGCATGAAGTAAAAGCTTCAGGCTTCAAAATTATTATCCTGCAAACATCTTCTGTAATCAGGAATATTTTCCCTACATTTCATATCTTATTTCCTCTCCTGTTTGAGCTGCTTATCCAATACTGCTTGGTATAAAGATAAAATCAACAAATAAGCATCTCTTTGTTATCAAGTGACGATTTATGTCCAGCTTTTGTTCCTCACCTTATCCAAAAATAATGATTTCCAGGCAAGGAACTGGTTGATGGTTAAAAAAGAACTGTGGAATGATTCCCATCATTTCTCAGTATCAGACACTACTTAACATTTTCTGGCCATTACTTCCTGAAAGATTTGTATGTTTAAAAAGTGAAGTTATCAACCTGAAGGTATTATCCAACTAACTTAATTATCTGAATATCAATTTTCATATTATTCTTACTTTTGCCATGTTTGAAGATTTCTCCTGTTACTCTTTCACTCCTTACAGAAAATTTCAGGAACATGAGGGGAGCCTGAGGTGAGCCTGGAAGTGAGGGGAGGAGCTACTAAGGTTGAAGAGCCTCGAAGTTACACTGGGGTATTACATGCGTGGGTAGCCATCAACTTAAGACTTAAAGTTCAAAGTGCAAACTGTGATAATATCTGAAAGTAAACTGTTGACTTTTGAAATGGAGACAATCTTATTGAAGCAATAGTGAAAATGCAAAAAGCATATTATTCTATTTTGTACAATTCATTTAAATGTATGTAGATGTATTTATATTACATAGATAAACATATCCAACTAAAGAATATGTATAGGAAAAAGATACTAGATATAAAGCTTAAGAAGATTCTTTCAAGAGATATAAAAGTCAACTTTTACAGAACACAAAATTAGTATTTCAAATTTAGTTTGTAAACTGGGCACTTAAAAAAGTTTTTGGTGGCATAAGTTGGCCCAAAAAAACAATAATATGCCAAAAAGAAACTCATTAAAAGTCACATGTCGTTAAATCCTAATTGTCCTTCCCACGGGTGAAAATTGAAAAGCACTAAACTTGGTGAAAATAAATTAATCTCGATTCACTTTGCCAAGCAAACAGATGTATTAAACACCCCTCCTAGCTCCCCTAAATTTAAAGTTGCTCTCTTGAAAGCAGAAATTTCTATTAAAGTACTATAATTTCTATTTCAAGTACCTATTAGTCATTTCACTTCTTACAGGAAAGAAAATATCTGGTATTTCTGATTATCTAGGAATCACATATAGTAATACTTAAAATTATAATCTCTTCACAGGATGCACTAAGAACTTAAATAGTTGGAAGCAGTATCTCTCCGCCTGACTGCAATCTATGTTCAGAAAAGCAGGAACACCTTTAATTCAAGCGACAGAAAAAAACTAAAGGGAGAACAATGTCTGTCTTGTACCAGAATATAAAACAGACACTCCTGGCCGTATAAAGGCTAAAGGGAATTCTGCGAGTCTAAGGAGAAATATGCCTATAGCCCTGTTAACCTGAAGTGGACTGCAAGAAAGAAATACAACTGGGATTTTATTAAATCTTTCTTCAAAATTTTCTATTGCATGTAGTAAACACAGAGAGAACACCGGACCAAATATTCAGCTGATCTGGCCAGAAGTCGTCATTTCAGTTTTGGAATTCAAACGGACTAGAGTGTTACTGTAGCGTTCTGTCAAGGGAATGCTGGATCTAAATCTGGGGTCAGGTATGTAGTTTATTAACGGAATTAGTGGCTCAAGACATAGCCAGTATATGTGACTTTCCTTCCAAAGACCAAAATTATCACCAATTTTAACAATGCTCTGAGTACTTTTTCAAAAAGTTAAAACTGATATTTGAAAATATCAAAACTGTTAAAGAAATGGTAGCGGTAACAGCTTCCATTTCTCCATGTGTATATTCCTGGCCATGTCTTCACAGAGCTTAACACATAATTCAAACATCTTTCTGATTATTTGATCAATGCTTTTTCTCCTCTAGCAGACAGTAAATTACTTAAGGATAAATGACCCATTTGGATTACCCTTGCACACCGCACACAGAGCACAGCCTTGGCGTATGTGAGGAGAAGGCTAACACACAAACTCCAGTTCCTCTCAGTACAACACGAGTACTATGCACATACGGTATCTGGACACACAGTGCAACTGACTCTCCTTGATGTAACACACACTGAGCTCCCTGTTCATACTGCGTTATCCTTCATCCTCCACCGTCTTAGCGCTCTTCCAAATTAAAATTCTCCTGGCAAGACCAAAACTAACGTTTTGGATATTTCTCTGGGTTAAAGAAGTAAGACACATGTCTTCATTTAACAAATGAAAACCAAGTCTTCAAGTACCCAAATTCATTTACTTATTGTAACTTTACACATGTTTAACTAAGAGAAATGAAATCACTTAAGTACATAAACCCCCAAAACAATTTTAACTCATCAGTATAGAGCCAAATTCACTGCACTTGCTCCCAAATTGTATACCATGTCCAATATTTAAACCTTTGCAAATTAGCAGAAGAAATACTTATTGAAAGATTTTTTTCCAAACAACACTTTTGGGAAAGGTAAGTCAAGATGACAGAACCATGGGTTACTCCCCCAAACAGCTTTAAATCTTCTAGGGAAAATAAGCACAACACAATACCATAAATAAAGAAAAGCAAAAGGACCCAAAAATAAAAAGCTGCAACTTGGTCAGAGAGGTCCCTAGACACCGTGGTGGCAGCAGCCCCTCTCCTGGGCTGAGGAGCCACCACTCAGCAGCCATCAGACACTGAGCCCCACTACCGAAGCACCAAGAGGCGCCTGAGGCAGAGACACAGGGAAACTGCAGGCTGAGCTGCGGGCTGCATTGGCAGAATCACACCCCGAGCCTGCCCCAAATTCTGACCGGAAACAGGGATTCAGTCATTTAAGGAAAGGGAAAATACCTTAAAAAAACCATTAAAAAAGTCCTGCCGCTGAATAAATGATATTAAAACTTCCTCAAGAAACACAAAACAGGAAGTAGGAAAATCAGCTGCACCTATGCACTAGTATTTACAAACAACTAAATAGTGGTGACACTGTAACAACACACCCATTTAAAAAAATTGATACAAGATACTCATTTACAAAACTTTGTGAATCCTCTATTCTTTAGTAATCTACTGACAACTTTCAATGTTAGAGCGTGACTTTGGTGCTATAAAGTGCTGGTTTTAAGAACACCCTGATCACCAGTTTCATCATCTGAAAATTAAGGATATTAATTGTATCTCTCATAATGTTGCAAATGATAATATATGTAAAGCACTTAGCAAAGTCCCTGGCAAAGACAAGCACTTACTTATTCATCCAACTAACATTTATTCAGTTCCTATTCTGTGCCAGGCACTGTTTAGGAGCTAGGAGCAAAGTGGTGAAGACACAAAATTTCTGTCCTTGTGAGACATTCGTGAGGAAGGCAGTCAATAAAGAGGTAATTAAGCACATATTCTAATGTCAGGGAATAAGTGCTATAAAGAAAACTAAATCAACCTGAAAGGATTTAAGAGAAACAGAAGCGAGTATTTTAGACAAGACGGTCAGGCAAAAAAGCCGGGGACGCTACCGTGTCCGCTAGCAGGAGGGAGCAGGAGTCATGGCAAGCCTGGAGTGGCTAAGTGTCCGCTAACGAGGAGGAGGGTCACGTGGATTATAAACCAGATGTTTCCCCCTACAATTATTTAAAATCAGAGGAATCTACATCAAAATTGTCCAAAGAAAACAGTTATCAAGCTCATTATTTTCTTTCTGGGCAAATGCTAAAACAAGTTAAGACCTGAAACACAGAAATGGAAACACGCTTCACAGATGACGTTATAATGGTAGTGCATATTGATGACATTTCCTTGTTTACTGTTTAAGCTGACAAAACAAAAATCTGTCCGTGTCCCCCCCCACCCCAGTATCAAACCACAGGATGCCGCCAGCGCCAGCTGCTTACCTCACTCTCAGCGAAGTGCCTCTCCCCCTTCAGGCACAGAGAGGACCGCCGCAGCGTCTTCTCGTCCCCATCATCAAACACTGAGAAAAGGCAAACACGGGAACTACTGAAAAGGCTTTTCAAAAATTAACAAGATGATGCAAGTCATCACTGAATTTCCTGACTGCAGACAGAGGCACTGTTTAGGGTGATGCTTGAGATTCAATTTGCAGTTCATATTTTCTGAACGTTAACTTCAAATACAGGGGCATCTTTATCAAAGCAAAAAATAATATACCTGAAAAGGAAGTATCTTCCCTGAAAAACACCACATAAAAAATGATGTAAAAATATAAAAAAATACTAAAAAGAAAAAAGTTGTCATTCAGTGAGAAACCATTTCAGTGAAGACTAACCCTTCTCCAAATGAGATATACTCAGAGTCAGTGAAGAGCCAAAGTGAAAATACAGACTCACCCTATGTTTCTTTTCATTATTTCAGGCAACCTCATTATTTCTCAACCTCGGAGCGGCTGGCACAGCTCTGTCAACGGCTGATGTGTGCACCCCAGGACAGCAGCTGTCAGCAGTGACACCCAATCACGTCTACAGACATTGCCAAGTATTCCCAGGGAGGCAAATTTGTCCCCAGTTGAAAATTACTTATTAAAAGTGCTAAAATGTTCCAGCAAATTTACTGTTAAGTTTATATATACAGAATATATGCATATTTTATATTTTAAGCATATTCTATAATCCTCAGAAATTGTGAAGCATATCCCCATTTTAAATAAAGTTACAAGACCTAGATTTCAGAAATTACAGTTTTTGTGTAACTACTAAAATTGGAGTCTTATGTATTATGTGTGACTGAGTATGTAACTTTTAGTACCTTCTTAAAATGTTGTAACTGAACTATTTAATCAAAACGCTAAACAGATGAGTCTGATTACTACATCTAATTAACTTTTATACTTAGTACACAGAATAGCTTGTTAAACAGATTTGTTTGTAATCTAGTCTCAAAATCAAAATTTTGAGACTTTTTCACACCCCAAAAAATAGAAACAAAATTCATCTATATTCTCTCAAAATTCCATCCAATGTTGATATCACCAAAGATGTTCTGTGAGGTCTTTACTACACCTTGAAGTTATTAAAGAACCTAAATTATCATTTAATAAATAATACTAGCATAAATGACTATCAATTTGAAAAGTAATTTGACATATTTCAGAAACATAAAAAATTAACAGTAGGTAAAATGAAGTTACTTGTAAAACAGAAACAAAACTTTGAAAAGTAGCTCGATGACACTGTGGCAGAAAGGCCTTCATGAACAAGAGTCAAGACCGGAACCGCAAGGAAAAAGGGACCAGAGAAAAACCAGAGACACGAGATGAGTACGAGCAACCAGAGGAAGAGGCTGACCACTGAAGTAACGAAGGGCTGACGTTCAAAATACAGAAAGAACTCGGATCCTAAAAATAGCAGGAGAAGGTAAGAAGCCACGGAAGAGGACTGGGAAAACACTGTGAACAGGCAGTTGGAGGGAAAGAATCACATTCCTCTCGTTAAGCACGCGGAAAGACGTGCATCTCACTAGTAAGAGATCACAGAAGGGGAACATGAAACCAAACCAAGACACTAGTTTGTGTCCAGATTAGCTAAATTACAAAAGACAGTCAAATTTGACAAGGGTTTTAAATAAAGTTACAAGACCTAGATTTCAGAAATTACAGTTTTTGTGTAACTACTAAAATTGGAGTCTTACGTATTATGTGAGACTGAGTATGTAACTCATCTCATTCATGAGCATATAGACATTCTTCTAGGAAAGTAGTTTTCAATTCCTACTGATGTTCAAAAGCCATTTCCCTTCACTTACATCTTATTTCTCACTGTACACAAGAGAAAAAAATGAAATAAAGGATATGTACATTCACTGCAGCGTCACTGTAACAGCAAGAACTGACATCGTCAGTAAGAGAAAAAAATTACTGGTACATCACAGATTATGAAATATAGTACTAGCTAGGAACTTCTCACTCCGATGAAGAACATGAATATTTAACTGAAATACACACTTCAAATTGGTGAAAATGGAAAAGAAATTTCTCTAAGATACATGTTGAAGCGAAAAAGGCTAGAAATTCAATTGTATAACATATACAATTAACCACAAATTGTATGTTATAAACACAAAATAAAATTTTAAAAGATAAAAACCAGTAACACTAATAATTACTATGGTATTAAGAGTTCAAGGAAATTTTGCTTTATTTGTATTATTTTTGGAAACACATTTAAAGAAAGATTTATTTCCTTACCTACAGTGTACCAACTGGCATCGGTTAATTTATTGATAACAGCTTCCTGATATGCACCATCAAGATTCTTCACTTCTACAATAGCTCCAACCTAAAGTATTAGAAAAAGATTTAGAAAGTCTTTAAGATGAATGAACAAACCCAAAACTGGCTTTTAAAAAGTGAGTGCAGGTGCTAAGGAATAAACTACTGCTTTGATTTGTATTAAGATGCCAGCAATTTTATCCACCAGTTTTTGTACCGTAAGCGAAATGTCAACACAGTGAAAAGGGAAAATAGTATCTAGAAGGGCCGTGGGGACCACCTGGGTTCTCAGATCAGACCAAGGACCACATCTGTGAAAGCGATGGTCCTGGCATGTGTGATCTTCCCTTTTCAAGTTGCTAGGGAAGGGTAGGTAATTAAGAAAAGGTTTTGAGGCTTACATAAAAGTTAGAAAGTACCATTAATAACAATCATTTAAAATATTTTCCACGTGGGGGGTTCCCAGGTGGCACAAAGGGGCAAGTCTCAGCACTGTGGAGCTGTCCGCAGTCACTGCCCCATCAGTCCATCCCTGTCCAGGGAGTGACCCCCAGGGCGTGGCAGGACCCCCCCCCCGACCCCCGCTGCTCCCCTTAGCAGTATACTTCATCAGTTGGCCTGCCCTGCTCCCCACTCTCTCTCTCTGGTGAATCCTCTCACCCCCCTGCACTTCTAGCCTGTACCCCAGTTCTGTGTGCATAAATAAATAAATCTTTAAAAAAATTAAAGAAAAACCAAACAAGCAAAATTAATAAACAATGCCACTATCAAGGAGGCTGGAGTTACAGAAGGACAAAAAGACGGCTTACGTTTACAAATAATGGCCTTTCCTACCCTCCTCACACTGAACAGTTCCTGCGCTGGGCACTAGTCGGCCTGCGCCATGTGAAGGGAAGTCAGGCAGGACAAACCAACGGTGCTATGCTAAGGAGACAAACACCAAGCGTGAAGCTGGGGCCACCTCAGCTCCGAGGGCACAGTGCTTCCGTCACAGGGCTTGAGGCTACCAGAAGTTTGGTTCTACCATGACTGGCTATGAAACCGTGGCCAGATTACTTCATCTCCCTCCTTTCTGTAAAGAGTTGTTAGGGGGTTACAGAGCACGAGTAACAGACTTATCAGCACACTCCTAGCACAAGTGCTACATAAATGGTGGCCAGCTCTTTTCTCAAACAGACGACTTGGTTCTGCTCCAGCAAGTGGTGAACATATAGATGTAACAAACAGAAATGAGGGAACGGCAATTTATACAAGGTCTCCCTGGTGGTATAGAGGTCAGTCTCAGTGCTGTCAAGCTACCACCAGCCACTGAGGCATGATTCCATCCCCGGCCATTTTTTCACAGAAAGAGAGGAGATAAAGTAATCTGTCCGGGATCATATAGCCAGTCAGGGTAGAACCAAGCTCTGACCCCAAGGTGCAGGAGACCCCTCCTGCTTCCCTGCTGTTCCCTGAGGAGTGGGTTTCAGTCAGTCTGCCTGTTCTGCTCCCCATTCTATGTCTGGGGAGTCCTTTTACACTCTCCCCTGTACCTCTGGCCTACACCCCAGCACGTGTATGCATCAAATAATAAAACAGAACTCAGTGTTATCTATCTGTTTCTCTAAAACCTCAGTTTTAGTCCTCTGTAGTTCAGACCATGTTGTAGGTCCCCAGCCCATGGGATCCAACAAAAGGTTTAAAGTCAATCACAAGCAAACACGTGGCCACTATAGCTGTTTGACTCTCTCTCTGAAAAGTAGCTTCACAAGAAGGATTTTTTCTTTATAAACACTTCCATGCATCTGTTACTTTTGTTGACATTCATAGCCAGACCAATGTCCACGTCACACACTCAAAGGGCTGAAGCGCACACCAGTGCAGGCCATGGGTCCCGTCGTGTAGTCACTGACGGCACCAGCAGCATCGAGTGTGCTGACTGATCAGGAAAACCAAGTGCAAGTAAATTCCCTGGGAGCAGGCATGAGCATGTTTATCATAGTTATGCCTGATAAACCTTTAAAATTTTTCACTTGTCAGGAGCTGCTTCAAAGAATTAAGAAGTATGAGAAATTTTCCACTTCTCACATCATGAAACTTAACCCTGGCCCCTACCATCGCCACCACCTCAGTAACTGAGAGGATGGCAGAAACAACTAGCAAAATATAAAGCAGTCACATCTTCCTTGACGTTAATTTTGTCTGAATCCAGCTTATCATTATACCAGGTTTTATTGAATAAAATTATTCGTTTTGTTAGTCTACTGAGAGAGAAGCACAAATTTATGAACTCATAAACTGCCAACGAATTTTAATAATGGCTGAATGTAATTAGTATTATTGTTTCTCATCAAAACACCAAACAGCAAGACAGATTAATACTGAATAAGTTAATAAATGAGTTACCTTTAGCGGGCCCTTTATGTGGTCGTCCTGAACTTCCACTGTTGAAGAATCATGTCTAAATGTTACCTAGAGATTATAAATTTAATTAGCCACCACCTACAGCAAAAAAAAAAAAAATCAAGCAACACAAACTCATGGATGCATGGATTTCTTTTATCACGTGTAATGTAAACTAGCAGGTACCCAGTTCTCACAAGATTCCAGCTCCGATGTATATCTGCTGAAAAATCATAAACTGCTTCATATTTTACACTTCATACTTTATTCACCACTATTAATCATTAGTTGTCTGTCTGTATGACTATGAAGGAGACCGGAGTGAAGTGCCCCATGCACCGAGACTGCCCGGCCAGCGGCCAGCCTTCATGAGCAGCCCGCACTGGGCTCAGGCATCAAACGAGATCTTTACACCCACCTTACTGTTCCACTTGTTGATGAGAAAACTAGGGAAGAAGTGTAAGTAGCTGCTCCAACATCACAGAACCAGTATGTGACAGAGATGACATTTAACCTCAAGAGTATCTTATTATATCCTATTAGTTTATAAAACTAGAGAATAGGAAGCCAGATATAAAAAGTGTAAGTTCATACAAAGAGTTCAAATCTAACTAGTAAGTTTGTAGAAAAGAGGTAGCCTCCATTACTCAATAGAGAAAGTTGTTTTCTCTATATATAGTAAGAGTTCTCAGAGTGAACCACATCTCAGGTATTTGTGTTCATCATTTTAGATAAACAGCCCGCAAGCCAGATGCAGCAGGGATAAAAGCAGATGTCCCCTACAAAAGCACATTGAAACTTAAGCATCTGCATCATTCGCTTAAGCTATGCGGTGTACTAAGGCCCAGGTGTGAACCCAGAGCTGCAGCAGCTAACAGAGTTCACAGCTCAGCAAGTGAAAACTGAGCGGGGAAGAAGCAGGTCAACACGGTACCAGTAATGGTACGCTGTGCTATCAACAGAGGCAGCGGTTTTCTTCATTCTCTTACTAGCAAGAAGTGACAAGAATGCTACATTTCATTTTGCTGGTTCATTCAAAATACAGGAACAGCCAGCAGGGACTGAAGCCACGGCTGAAATCCTCCTGTGCTCTCAAAGCCAGCAAATGGCTCCTGAGCTGACACTGATGCTGTCCACAGGGAAGTCCATTCCCAACTGCACAAAGTGCGGGTCTGCACCCGGCCTCTGCCACAAGGGAGGGTGATTCATGCGTGGGCCAGATATGCCCAGCAACTGCCTTGTCTTGAGAGCGCGAGACTAAAAAAGAGCTTTCCCTTCCTCTCTAAGAAAACAGGACAAAATAAAAAACAAACAAAAAATTCAGTGAGTCCCAGTGTACAAATGAGAACAGGAAATGTCACTCTATGAGCACTGCACAGGTTACTAGAAAGCAAACCACAAGGAGCTCATAGGTGCCTCCAAGTGAAACAGAAAATGGAGCGCGAGCAAGCCCAGCATGGCAGCGCTCACAGTGCAGGCCTCACCACAGGGCCCGGGTCCACCAGGAGCTCTGTCAGCACACTCACGCACGAGATGACAGCCTGGTGCTTGTAGCGTGGACAAAACTCCATACAAGACTCCGGGGACCTCCAGTGGAAGTACAATACCTCTCTCTCTAGGCGGCTTAGCCGGTGACAATCAAAGCAGGGTTTTCTAGGCATCTGCTAATCTGGGCCCTAACTCCTCTGAGACAGAGGGCGGCCCACTTCATCCGCACACCCCATTCTTCCTTTATGCCTGACAAAAAAGTGCTCTGCACATGCCTGCTGTCCAGTAACTAACTGGCAGTGGACTAAAGATCTATCTTCAAACAAAGTTACCATATCAACACTAATAGTTTATCAAAATGTACATAATGATGTTTCTTTCTCTGCACTGCCTGAAACAAAAGGTAAGCACATTAGAAAGGTTTTCAAATATGCTCAACATGATTTATAATCAGGGACAAACAAATCAAGCCCTTGGTGAGAGATGAGCTAGCCACTGTGAGAATGGCCTGCACAAGAAGAGGCCACGGCAGATGCTGCAGGAGGTGGAGAAAAGGGACCGGCCACTGTGGAAAACCGTCAAGTCCTCAAAATACTGGCATCAGGACACCCTGTGGCCCAGCGAGTCCACGCCTAAAAATCGACCCAGAGGACCCACAATACTAATTTGCTAGGGAACCTGCACTCCTGCTTGCTGCTGTGACGCTACTCACAGTATCTAAGACGAGACAACCGCAGCGCCCTGAATAAATGACAAGATCCAGATGAGGCGATCCGATCGCACCATGGGCCACTACTCAGCAAGCTAAAAAACAAACTCACGTCACTTACAACAACATGGGTGGAGTGAGAAGGGGAGCGAGCTCAGTGAAAGAAGCCAGAGAAAGATGAAAACTATCAGATGGTTTCACTTATAGGAAGAACACAGGGCAGCCAAACAAGGTGTCAAAGACAGAGACAGACAAAAGTTGCAGGGAAACTACAGGTCTCAGGCACACACGGGGGCAAGAGGCAAGGGGCTGTCTAATGGGGCGGAGGTGCACAATGAACTATGGGCCAATGCACAGGTGATGTGGTGTGGGGGCTTTACGTGACTACGGCTGAGGGGAGAAAACAAATACTGTACAACAATGAACACTGGTGTAAGAAAATAAAAGTTTAACGAAAAAATAATAATTAAAAAAATAAAGACTTCTCAAGAAAGGCCGAGAACATGGGGTGCACACGGGACCTACCACACTTTACCACGATCACAGTTGCGCCTCAGCGGCATGAGTGACAGGAGAGAGGCAGCGAGCCCGAACACGATGCCTTGGCTAGCCCTCGCTGCTCCAGCCTGCGGTGAGGCCGTAGCCCACTAACCTTCCCCATCTCTGCTGTGACAGTAAATTAAGGACTCAATCTCCATGATTTCTCTTAGCTCCTTTCCAGCTCTACAAGACTAACAACACAAACGATCCGAAGTCTCGTGAAATGACTCAAAATACCAACTGTGATCCTCTAATTTCATTCCAACTAGAATACAGATCAATGCTTTGTTTTCAGTTCTTTTTGCAACCATTATTTCAAGAATCAAAACATTTTTCAGGGGAAAAAAAACCCCTAACTGTACTACCAAATATCATGCATAAAATCCACATATACTATACCTTGACTTTGACAAGTCGTTTTGCTGTCTTGATCTTGGCTTCACAAAAGGCTCCTCGGTATTTAGCACTCACATCTGTCCCCACTGTCAAATAGGGAGGCTCATCAAGGGCCTAAAAAAATGCAAAAAAATCCAATTAGATTTAAATTCTGATTGTGTCCAATCATCAGACCTCAGAGTAGCAGATCTAATCATGTTATAACTATACAAGTTGGAATAATTGAATGTATCTATTTATTTAAAAAAATCTAAAAATTGTTTAGATTAAAATTGTACCTTAAAATTTTAGTAAAATATATATCGTAAAACTGTTCAAATGTACATCATATAAAATATAAATGCATCTATTTTCTTTATATTAAATATATGTGGTCCGTGATAAAGTAGCTTAATCACCCTTTCATCCACATATTTACTTATTATTATATTACCACTTAGAGGGTCCATTTGCTAAAAAACAGATCCTTTTCTTTTTTAAAAGATTTATTTATTCATGCATATAAGAACTATGGTACAGGCCAGGGTATGGGATGTGGAGTGAGGATTCCCCAGAGACAGAGTAGGAAGGAGAAGGCAGGCAGGCAGGCAGACTGAAATACACTGCTGAGGGGAGCAGTAGGGAGACTGGAGAGGTCTAACGGGGAGTGGGGTCACTCCCTGGCCAGGGATGGAACTCCTGCTGCAGTGCCTGCAGAGAGCCTCATAGTGCTGAGAAGTAACCCCTTGCGCCACCAGGGGGCCCTAAAAGGCAGATCCTTAAAGCTCAAAGTTAGAGAAAATTTCTTTTACTACTTAGGCTGTATCTTGACAAATTCAGAAGAGCTTTGTTATATCCCTATTTAGACAATTCTAAGTAGAATAGCAGAAAAGGTGAGGGATATTATAGGTATCAAACTACCGGTAAAAATGATAAAAAAAAAAGAAGAAGAAGAATCTAGGGGCAAAAAATAGTGAAAATGTCCTAGATGCTCTGAAATGGGTTCAGTGTTTCTTTACTTTTCTGTGTTAAGTAATATTTTTCTCTTTATAACTTAGATTTTAATAGTCTTAAACTAGCTGCACTGAGTTTTCACAATCAGGTAAATTTCTGCAGAGGACTTATGTTACTATGGAATTCTCCTTATATTAACCATAGGTAAAGAATGATTATATACACAGCTTTCCCCAAAGTGTTTTATAAAAAATACTAGTACCTTTAGCCCTCCCTGGTGGTGCAGTGGGTTAAAGCACAGCACTAACAAGCTAAAGCCACTCCAGTAAGAGTTCGATCCCCGCCCCGCAGGTGACCCACAGGCAGACCTCTCTTGACCCGCCCACTGCTCCCCTAGCAGTATACTTAGTCAATCTGCCTGCCCTGCTCCCCACTCTGTCTCTGGTGAATCCTCTCACTGCCCCTGCACCTCTGGCCTGTACCCCAGTTCTGTATGAATAAATAAATCTTAAAAAAAAAAAGAAAAGAATTGTAAAGGGAAAAGAGCCTCATAAAAAGCTGCTAAAATAAACACCGTGGTAAAGCAGTGATTTGCTAAAGAGTACTATGTTAAAAAGGAAAACAATGATCTATGTTCTGATCTGCTTTTCTCTCTTTTTTTTTTTGAGTATCAGCTAAGTTATTTTTGTTATTTTTCTGCCCCTAAATTATCATCATCAGATGAATACAGTAATTTAATTCTGTATATATGTGTGTAGCAAGCCTATATAAAAACATTGGGGTTTCAAGGATGGTCAGAATGGGGCCCTTGAGGCTATAATTATCCAAACCGAAACTATACTGACCAAAATAAGAATGAGGATCTGTAAAACAAATGAAATTCATAGCACACAGAGATTTGTGTATGCAGCTCCAACAGAGAGGAAGTTCTCACTCTATCATTACCGTAAGGTAGTAAAACAGACACAGCACAGAAACTTAGGCCCGCCCCCGGTTCTATGCACACACTAACCAGGCCAGTCTTCAGAGGGCCCCGGGCCGAGTCACTGCGCAGGGGAACAGGCAGGCTGCAGATGGCTGCAGTGGCCTCTGAAGGTCTGCTGGTGGTCTGACTCAGTGCAGGCCAGTCACCACACCAAATGCAAACTCCACTCACACTCTCCTTTTCTTTTTAAAAGGTGAGACAAAACCTCACCCTAGATGATTGCTTGTCTTAAGCACAAACTGAAAGTCAAATCAATTTCTAGCTCACATAAATACTGTTAGTATATGGAACAGAGCTGTGATTTCTACCTGGCCTTACAAAAAAGTCACAACTCTAAACATATGGTAATATGTATGTCTTTAAAATATGGAAAGAATCAAACATGGGTCTGTTCTATTATACATAATGGGAAAGCTAAGTAATAAATATAGGGAGGGCTAGTAAACAGCAGTAACCTAGGGAAAAGGAGCAGCAAGGGAGATTAGCATATGAAAATGTTTCTAAGTAACTCTTTTTATTGACTTCGGAACAGGTCCCTTTCTGTTTACATTTGGTATGTGTTCTTCCTCTTTAAAATGTACACAAAGGAACATTTCAAATGTATACAAAAGGAGACAGAAATTGCCAATATACTATCCTCCATAATTATAAATATGAATCAATTCTTTCTCATCGATGATCTGACTAAACCGCGATTATTTTCAAAGTACCCCAGATAATGTATTCCTTCATAAGAAATATGAGAATTATTACCTGTAACAGAGATCTTTAAAAATTTTCTTAATACTTTTCTGTATTTACCAAAGTAGTTGGAATAGTAAATTAAGTATAATACAGTAATAAAAAGCACAGGCTCTTGAACTTGATGCTTGAATTCAAATTCAATACCACTTAGTAGCTAGGTGGCCTCTGGTTAAAAGCTCAGTGACAATTTCACAGGGATGAGAACTGAAATGCTATACGTAAAGTTCTCAGGACAGACTCCAGCACATATTTTTAAATAAAAACTACTATTACTTAGGAATCCAAGAGAACTTGTAAATTAAAAAAAAATTCAAGTTGAATACAAGAGTTCACATAAATAATGTGTACATATATATAAATTTATGTATGTGTAATATATTATAAGCATTTAAATATGATCCTCCATATCCAATCCTACTGAACTGCAGTGATGACAGGCTGCGGGGGAAGGGAGGGCCTCGCAGCCCCTCGCAGGGCACTGCATGCCCTTTCTGAGTACTGCACTCTGTCCAAGGTGGGGATGCACAGAGCACCGGCACCGGTTTACTAAAATTCCTTCGACCAACACCAGCCCTGCTAAGTTAGGTATGTATAACAACAACAACAAAAATCTTAATTAACCAATGTATTGACCATCTCAGAAGCTGAAATAAAATGTTTTCTGTGTGGAACCTTCACGCCAAAAAGGAAATTAAACTACTAAATTACCATCTTTTTGTTTAGCAAACACAACAGTTTTCTAGTCGTCAAGGCAACAGTTACCTCACAGTTATCCAGCACTGCTTAAACAATTATTTTTCTAGTCCATCTACCAAAAGCCCTAACTGGCACCTACAAGCTATTGAATTCCATGGGAACACTAAAGAGCATAAGCGATTTTTAAATTAGCTATTGGTGGATAATAATACTTCAGGAAGCCAAAATGCCAGGGAAGCATATTAAGTGCCCAAATAAATCAACAGTAATCTCTAACATGCCCTGAGCTGGAGAACACCAAATACATAAAATAAGTTTTAGAAAGGCAAAATAGCTGAATCAATTCTCCAAATGACTGACTGATGCTGACAAGGCCTAGGAAATATTCAGTTATTCATGATCTGTTTTTAGAAAGCAAAACATGCTAGATGACATTATATTGGAGGGGGAGGGGAGAGGTCTCAGAGTTAAGCATTGAAACCTGTTACTATAGCAATGCTAATTCTGCCACAAGAATCCAAAAACAAAGAGTATTAAATGGGGGCCTCCCTGGTGGCACAGGGGTTAAGGTCTCAGGGCTTTAGGCGCTTATCAAGCTACTACCAGCCACTGCAGCAAAAGTTCAATCTCAGCTAGGGAGGGACCCACAGGGCTCGGGAGACCCTTCCTGTTCCCCTGCCGCTCTCAGCAGCAGCGTCCTTCAGTGGATCTGTCTGTTCTGCTCCCCACTCTGTCTCTGGTAAATCCTCTCCCTCATACTACACCTCTGGCCTATAACCCCAGTTCTTGTGTGCATAAATAAAAGTAAATCTTTTTTTTTTTTTTTTTTTTAAAGATTTATTTATTTATTTGTGCATACAGAAGTGGGGTACAGGCCAGAGGCTCAGGGGCGGTGAGAGGCTTCACCAGAGACAGAGTGGGGAGCAGAACAGGCAGATCTACGAAGTACACTGCTGAGGGGAGCAGCGGGCGGGTCAGGAGAGGTCTGGCTCGCCATGTGGTCTCCTCCGGGGCAGGCGGCAGGCGGGAATCGAACTCATGCGGAAGTGGCTTCAGATTCTCAGTACTGTGCTTTAACCCGCTGCGCCACCAGGGAGGGCCAAAAGTAAATCTTTTTTAAAAAAGTATTAAATGTATGCTAAAACTCATAGTAAGTAAATGAATACTATACACAGTGTGGCAATAGATCTACTGAGAAATTTTTCATATATGAAAATCTAACGGAGGCATTAAAACAGTAATGGAGACAAAGCAAACGAATGAATGAAAAAAGCAGAATCATGTCACTTGCAATGCCCCGTCCTAGGACATATCAACAAACGAGCACCCTGCAATAACCCAGGAAACTGCAATGAGCTCAGAGCTGATGGGCCACACCCTCCCTTCTGTGGGGGGCGCTCTGAGGGTCAGGGGCCTGTGGGTAAAGGGCTGGGGCAGGAGTGCAGACAGACGCGGAACGCCAGGCAGCAGTTGAGACCAGGGAGCTACTAAGGCACAGGCCAGACCATTCCGGGGCAGACACGGTGGACAGAGCAGGGGCAGAGAGAGCAGAGCACAGTGAGGCGGGCTCACCGCACCAACCCAGTAAGTAATGAACTGATGAACAAGACACTGAGGTCACGGGGTCACGTGTCTCTCTGCAAAGACATGCAACAGAGAAAAGCTAAGTCCAGGGGTCTAGACTGGAGTTGGAAATACAAATTCAGGGGCGCAGACATATGTACACAGAAAACACTCAGTCACAGCAGCATGGACA